ATCGTGATGAAACCTAGGAATGTAATTGGCAAGTTACGGGAGGTATGGAAAATCACTAATGGGCTTGCCTAGGGCTATACCTACCTACTAGGGGTATACCTACATGCCTGGATAGCAAGTTGGATTATGCTAGCTCTTATATTTTCTGAGATCCTTTCATTCCTACAGACGGAACATCGCTATATCGACTCTTCATCGACTTGTCATCCTGAATATAAACACTCTTTTACCCTTTGGTTACATTTGTCCGCTTTTCCCATACGAATAACTGTGCGTCGTTGACATTTTTGGATTAATCAAAAATATATTTGCATGTCACAATGATGTGGTTTCAGAAATTGTGAGCAACGACCATTAGCCGAATTTAATTATTAAGCAATGTCAGATGCGAGCATTGTTTGTATATTGTACCATAACCCGCCATTAAATATGCAAAATTTAGCGCATAATTAGCGCACTTTTTGATTATATAGATGGCAGCGACATCATTTACATGGCATTACAGCGATGGCAGGGATCAAACGTACAACTGTTGCACAAGCGTGCATATCCTGTCTCCTGTTTCTATGGCCCCGCTTCCGCGCTCATTTCCGGATCGAAGCGATGGCATGGCATTCACTGTTACACTTGAGTTCTCGCCAAACATTCCGCTCCGATTTTGTATGCTCTGAACGCTGCCACCACCCACTGGACACCCCGAAATTCCGGCTGTCGTTCCTCAACTTACGCCTTTGGACTGCGTACGCCATTTCCGGCCATGCCGGACGAGCTGCTTTTGCATTCGTTGCCATGGCTTTGCTGGCGGTGCAAACTAAAAAAAAATTTTTTTTACAAATTAACTGCAACTATGTACGTCATGAGCTGAAAAAAGGATTCAAAGTAAATAGTTAACGACTACAGTCGCGTTCTTTCGTCGCTTCGTTGAATTCGCCAGCTTTTCATTTCAATAGAAGCCCCAGCTTGACTCGCTCCTTTTCAGATCTTTATTTATCATTGTTGTTGTTTGTGCTGCTGGTGCCGTATCTGATACTGTTTGCGCATTGCATTCAGTTCGCTTCCAATGCCACCTAATAGGCTACCAGTTAATGGTAAAGCGTAAATTCAATTTAAATTATTTGCATATTTTTCGCCAAAATGTTTGCCATTACAGAGGTTTGCTTTTGAAAAGTAAGCTCGTTGAAAGCTAACAGACATTTCGTAAGCTGGGGAATTAATCAAAGCAACACATAAAAGATACGTATTAAATGAGAAAAAGAGAGTTATTTTATGGAGCACAAAGGCTAAAGGAAATGCAAACGCATCAATGGCATACATACTCGTAAACACGGAAGCCACAGCACCACAGTTGACGAAGAAGAACATTCGATAAGCGAAATCCTATCATTACAAATTCTCCTCGCAGGGTAAAAAGCTATTAAACAATCATTTTATTGTATGCAGCACAAAAGACAAAGCGCTCCAGAGGCGTCAAATCATAAAAAAGCACAATTTTTCGGAAGCGTATGCAAACGTCTAATTTCAACCCCGATTAGAGCGAAGACAAATACTTCTTTTGTTTGAATTAATCAATAAAAAGTTAATTACATTTTTCAAAAAGTAACCAGTGACCTCTGCGATATAATGATCATAGACGACTCACCCCAATCGGGACCGAATTTTCAAATGCTTTTTCAGCATGCCTTCTTAACTTATACAAGTACTATAAAAAAGTGATTTCAAGAAATTCGTTCTTTATTAAAGCTCATACAAAAAGAAACAAACATTATTTCTCTGATAGTTTTGAAATAGCCGTCATACAGTTCGAAATCATTTACAAACAATTTCAGCACATTTTGTGCCAACAGTTATTGAAACTAACTTTGGAAAAACGACCAAACGCAAATTGCTAATCGAGATAATCACACAAAGTAGCAGTTTTTCAGGAGTCTAAAAGCTTGCTAAAAAATACATCAGAACATATTAAGCAACAAGGAGCGAGAACAAACATTGGGAAAGCAAAAACCAGAAACAACCTAGAAAAGGCATTTAGTACATTTGGAATTCGAAAGGTGGGTATCAGTCTGTGATTTGAGCAATAGTTGATGTAACCTCATTATCATTCAGATCAGTGCTTTGTTCTTAATGGACCTAATGGAATAAATAAATATATATAATTAATTAATAATAATTATCAATCAGGTGAATATATTGGGCATATCCATAGCCCTTTCTTTTCTAATTGCACAGCTTCTTATGTTGACGAACCAATCCAAAGGATTAGGTTGGAAATAAGTTTTCTAAGATTCTTTACAATACAAGTAGCTTTTTATAGACAAGATTGAGAGAGTATTTTAAAAGTAAACTTCTGAAGCTGAACCAAACTCAGAATGGTACAGATTATATGGCCATAGATCATTTAGTTTACTTTAAAAAATGTCATTTGTGAATAGAGTAAGTTCTTCAGCAATTTATGTTAAAATCGATTCCAAAGACAAGAACTGAAGGCAAAGTTTATTTAAGTTGAATATGTTTGCTTTTCCTATTTTTTAGCTGTTCCCCCATACGATTTATTCTGTTTTTGATTCCAAATACTGCCACCTGTATTCGCAAACTAGAGAGCGGCGAAGCAGGCGCCCTAAGCCCATAGAAAGATTAATTAAGTCCGGACGAGCAAAAAAGCACAACAAACAAGAACTAGCTATGGTGGCGAGGGGTAGACGGAAGGCGTGTCAAACGGGCGTTGAAGTTGATGTTTTGCTTTCTTAGCATACTTTTGTGAGCATCGACTGTGTGAGAAATTAAAATTTCAAAGCGAACGCGTTGTGGCATAATGTTGGCACGTTACAGTGTGGGAGTGACGTGTGCGTGTGTGTGTGAGCTTCTGTTTGTGCCAAGTATTTGTCAAGCTAAGAAAAACAAAAGGAAAAATAACAACTGCAAATAAGCGGAAGCAGAACGAAGGAAAAGCCCACGTCGCGCTTTCATATAATAAGCATTTTAAACGAGTGAAAAGCGCGACATAAACAAAGCAAAGGACATGCTACACACACACTTGCATGGGCGTTTTCTTAACTGGAGGGGCCTGCCGTAATGAGCGCACGTTGGTGTTGATGATGTTGCCACTGTCTCTCTGTCCACCACATGGGTGTGTGTGCGTTGTTTTCGTGTTTTGTTTTTCTTTTCATTTTTTCCCATGCTCCGCGTTGACAATAAACGTGTTGAATGTCAAGTGTATTATTTGTGAGTGTGTGCGTGTGTGCGTGTGTACGTGTGTGTGACTGTATATGCGCCTTTATCTAATGCCCTTTCATATAATTAAATGTGCCAGCTTAATCACAATTTTTATGTCTGTGCGGCAGATTAGCACGCGCTAAGAATTTAAAGTGCTTCATTTCTAAACCCATGTAAATACGCTCATGAAGCTTTTACGGTGCTTTAGTTAATGCACATTCCATAGCACTTTTTTCAATTAATACGTATATCTTCTAATAAGGCGGACTGCGAGCGGCTCATGAGTTTGGTTTTACATCACGTCTGGGATCATGGCATATAGTACTAGAGAGAGAGTGTGAGGTCGTCGGGCTGTGCAAGTAAAAAACAGCAAAGCCGTAAAATGATCGCATTTGATAAAAACTACCCCCAAAGGATTAACCGCAGCTCGTGGACCTTAATGTATATATAAATTGTGATGGGGGGGATGGGTACGCCTCAGCTACTTGGTATTGACCTCAGTCCCCGCTCATCGAACTCTCGTTGTCGTTATTTATGTCGGTGCGAGCGAGGGATTCGGCTAGGAAGTCCAATTAGGACTAAGATATGTTCATGTATCACATGGAAACTTTCAAAATTGTATCCGCCTTCGCATCTTGCTTTGCAGGCGCCAACTTTCGCTTCCTTTGAAATTTATTTGCATTTTCCGGCCTATTTGTGTTTTTTGCTCCACCTTAATGATTCCTCGGAACTGTCTTTGCTCTCTGCCGACTATAAGGCGGAGAAGCAATTCATTTTAATGTCCTTCTGCTCAAACCAACGCAATGCATCGTATATCAAGTGTGCTCCCTTTTTATCCCGACAGTTATTGATTCTATTTTTTATGGCCGTTATCATAGCTATGTCTTTAGCTGAGAGCCTAGGCCTAATGCACACACCCATACATTAACACGAATACATTTTCACGCAGCTATACGCAAGGACATCTGCAGGCGCGTAACAAATTTTTCAAATGATTACTTCATTACTTAGCAGCGGATGGAGTAGAGCCTTCTTGCAGTAAGATGCTTGATTTTCTTCGCTGAATACTTGAACCATTTTAATAACAGATTTTTAAAAGCTTGTACTTAAAGCAGCAACTCTTTAAAACTCTAAGGCGAATGCTTCCAGATTTTCAATAAAAAAACCATTGCGAAACAAAGAGCATTATTCAAAAGAAATTTCGCTGAGGTGTGCATTTCTTCCGTTTAAGGCATTGTGAACATTCAAAATTAAATAGATATCGAATTACACCTTTCACACAAATTAGTCTCGTTAAGAGATTTTTATTGATTATTTTATTACTATAAACTATTTTAAAGGCATGCCTACTGCAGGGGAGCAAAATGAAAACACCGCTTCAATTGCTAAATTCAAAAATTGAACTAATTTTAATATTCAAAAATACTCGAAGTACTTACTGATATTTAACTCTACTTTAAGGTTCATGGTTTAGCGCCTTAAATGTAAATTTGTAAATACATTCATTTGGTGTGCTTACAAAGTTTGAAAACATTGTGTGGTATTACTTAGCTCTTCAAGAGGGCCTTAAAGCACTGCACATTCGTACAATTAGCATGTCGTTGTTATTTAAATACCTACATGGCTTAGACCCCAATATTGCGTAACATATTAATTATAATATATATAATAAAGTACGCTAGTATTAATAATAAAGTCCCGTCCTTGTTCGTTATCCACTACACACCCCTGTGACAATCAATGAGTTAATTTTCCTTAATTAACCTGAACTTGTTGTTCTTCTCTTGCAGTAACCCCTTAACTTGGCTCAGCCATTGTTGCTGCCATGGACCTACCCTCGATGGTGCAACGCTCCGGCGACACTCTGATCGTGCGTAGTGTAGTTAGCGGCAACCAACTGTACATGGACCAATCCAACCACAGCAGCAGCAGCAACAACAACAACAGTGGCAGCAGCAACAACAGTGCTAGCAACAAAGCATCGCCACCGGCCACAGGGCTTGCAACAGCCGCGAGCAGCGTGCTGGAGCAACAACTGGAGCGCTTTCGCATTCAACAGCTGCTGCAACAACAGCAGCAGCAGCAGGCAGCCGCCGCCGTGGCCGTTGTAAACACCGTGCAGCAGCAACAGCAGCAGCAACAGCAGCAGCAGCAGCAACAACAACAACAACAACAACGTCTAGCTATGGACGCCAAGGAGGAGGGTCTGCCGCAGTGTAAGATCAAGCGCAACTACAGCTGCAACCATTGCGCCTACTTCACCCAGAACCCACGCTACCATCTGACCCACCTACGAGACGTGCATGGCGAGAAAATAGTCATCAACAAATGCAAGCTGTGCCTGTACGCCTCCCGCCACTTCCAGAAGCTTGTGCGACACATGAAAATGGTGCACGGATGCACCGACGGCATACCCAGCGGGCACGGGCAGGCACGTGGCAAGCGTGGCATGAGCCGAGAGGCACGCAAGCGACGCCTTGAGGAGAGCGTTGGTGTAATGAGCGGCCAGGTTACTGCCAGCGGCCTGTCCGTGCCCACACTGGAGCAAGTGAAGCGGGAACTGCAGCTTCAGGAACAGAAGCTGCATCGCGACATCGAGGCATTTAATCAGCGCCAGCGCGAGGAGCAGCAACAGCAATTGGCCACCAGTGCCAGTCTCTTCGTGAGCAGCTACGAGCAGCAGCTACAGCTGCAAGCTTTGCGTGAGTTTGAGGCACGTGAGACTTATGAGCGTGATGCGCAGCAATCGCCATCAGCAGAGAACAATAGCCACAACAACAGCAACAGCGATGTGGTTGCAAACAGCTACCTGACACATCCAACCGTGGAGCTCGCTACACCGTCGCCGAGCGGCTCGGCCACTCCACCTTCCGCTTCCGACACGCCACAGCCCGTATCAGCCCATGCCGGTGCTAACTACGAAGAACCACTGAATCGCCTGCTGAAGTGCAGCGTGTGCGACTTCACGACCATGTACCGTGCTCAGCTCGTGGATCATGAGCTGGAGGTGCACCACAAGACCAAGTTTTTCCGCTGCGACAAGTGCAGCTACGTAACGCACATCAAGGCGCGGTTTAGCAAGCACGTCAAGTACCACTCCATGCCGATGATCAAATGTGTGACCTGCGACTTCCGCACGCCCTACAAGTGGAACCTTGACCGTCACATGAAGAACCACGGTGGTGCGGGGCCCTTTAAATGTGCTGCCTGTGACTTCACGGCAGACATCAAGCAGTCCCTGACAGTACACGAAATGAATCACCATGTGCCGCCTGTTGGTAATGCAGCAGGCATATCCTTGTCACGGCGCCGCAACAAGGTAGGCGGCACTGATCTATGCGATGACTTTCTCAGTGATTCGGCTGAGCTGGAAGATCAGTACAACAACAACAACCTGGATGAGGAATATGATGATGTGGGGCTCAGTGCCGAGCACTACGGCAAGCGTGGAAAATTCGACGAGGAAGAGCCCACGGATCTGTCACAGAAAGGAGGCTCGTCGGACACCTCTAGTGTGGGTACGAGCACACCGCGGGCTAAGCGACCGGTTCCCAATCTCATACCCATCACAAAGGGCTCCAAAGAGTAAGTTTGAGACCGCCTTCTTCACCTTCTTCATATCTCCATATTTTAACTTTTCCTCCTTTTCTCTACAGCGTGCTTAATCTCTCTAGAGATACAAACGCATCGCGCAGCTCTCTTACGGAAATAGCATCAATGTTTTTCAATGATAAGCAAATAACCGAGATGCTTGACAAGTCGGACGTACCACAGCTATCCCCAACTACGACTATTACTTCTCACACATCCAGTCATTCGCGCAGTCTGCTTGCAAAGAAATCCAGCGGAAGCTTCTTCGAAAAGCTGAAGACCAGCGGTGCACAGCACGAGAATCTCATGTGCCCATGCGGCCATGTGGCTAAGTGCCTATCCGAGTCCATTATACACGGAAAATCCTGCAATGCATCTGTAGTCATCAATGATGATCTAAATGATGAGGAACACGAGGACGATGCCGATGGGCGTCTTGAAATAGACGAGGACGATGAGGATCGGCAGTCACACTCGGCATTGAACCTAAGCGTATCGGGATCCACGCGTTGCCAACACTGTCGACACCGCTGCAAGTCCTCCACGGACCTCCTGCACCACCTTTCTCAATGTGCAGAGGCGATTCGCTGCGCCAACGAGATGTACGATTCCAATTCGGGCGAGAGTGGGGAGCGCACGGATCCCAAATTGCTGCGTCAGCAGGCTGAAGTGCAACAGCAACGTGTCTGCATTTGGAACAAGGCGGCAAAAGAGATTACTGCTGCAGTTCATAATAGTGCGGACAAAACCAGTGCCGGGTCGAACAAGTCCATAGTTGGCACTTCTGGCAGTGCCAATCAGTTAGCAGGTCCTAATGAAGAAAACAGCTACTACGGCGTGGAAACAGCACCGGGCTACGGCGAGGTAAGTTAACTGAATCGCATTCACCCATCTCATTTCCCGTCTATGATCACGCACTGCACAGAGCACACACTTAGCGCGTCAAAATGAAATTTGACTCTTTCACACACGGCAGGTAACCAAAAAGATGACGGCTGAGGAAGAAGCTGCCAACTCGTCACTGAAGAAGGTGTACAAATGCCCGCACTGCTCCTTCTGGGCTTCCACCGCTTCACGCTTTCACGTTCACATCGTGGGTCATCTCAACAAGAAGCCCTTCGAGTGCTCGCTCTGTTCCTATCGCTCCAACTGGCGCTGGGACATCACCAAGCACATACGCCTAAAAACCATTCGTGATCCCTCGCATAAGTCGGCCAAGGTACTGATGAACGACGAGACCGGAAGACGCAACTACACCAAGTACAATAAGTACATCACACTGATGAAAGTCACCGAAGAAGATGGCGATCCAAAGCTTATGAAGTCGGGTGAGATGACACCGAACCAGGTCGCATCTCTAGCCTTCTTGAAGGACTATAACAAGGTGCCTAGCAATCAGGACATCACCTTGGAGGCGGTCTCCACGAGCAAAGTAAACGCTCTGGATGATCCCCACTTGGCAGATAATCTCATTCGCATACCACTCCTGGCCACCATGATGAACGCAGCCATGGCCCAGCAACAACACCAGCAACATCAACAACAAAAGGAGCAGCAGGACCAAGGCCATGCCCATGCAATGATCACACCTTCAGTGACCATTTCTCCGGTGAAGCGGACAGCTAGCTCATCGTCCTGCAAGCCAACCGACGATCTCATTACTGAGGTCCATCAGGAGGGCAATGAAAAGAAGACCTTCTACAGATGCCGTAAATGCAACTTCAGGTACGTGTGAACTATTTATCACGCTCACGCCTTACTCCTACAGCAATGTAGCTATCGTGAGGCCTTTATTCGACCGGTTAATATGTCAAGACTAGATCGCGATATCATGAAGCTGTTACATTTTATAAAAGTATTGAAACAAAATTGCACATTCAGAATGTTGTCGTGTGTTTTGGAGGTGCATCGCTGCATCAAAAAAGTACAAAACGCTTTCCAATGAAAGAATAAATAGAACCTACTAATACAGTTCGAGTTCCATAGCCATTGTTGTACAGCAACGTGAAGAGTACTTAGCTGTTGCTATTATTTATTCATATGTCCAACATTATTTTTTCCAAACCTCTCGCAGACACAACAACCGTGACGCTGTACTGGCACACGTGAAGATTCACTACCAGGATCCCAACCAGCCCATTGTCACCGCCACCATGAACAGCTCGTCTAAGTCACCGCTGCAGGTCTCGGTTAATTCAAATCCACAACTCTACATGAACAAAGTATTCGCAGCAATGTGCCTATCCCAACCCTCGCCTACGGCTAGCGGCTCTGTGCCCGTCGGGCCTGGCACCGCCGCTATCAGCAACAACAACCAACATTCCATAATATCCGCTGGTCTGCTGCAACGCGCCATTCAGGAGGCCCAGCATTCACCTACACCCAACGCCAGCGCTCTCAGTGGCCTGGCGCTCGCTCTAGCCGGCAACAAGTGTACCAGCCATGCGACCAGTGCCTCCACAGCCCCACCAAAAGCCAGTGCCGCCTCCATTTTAGAGCACGGTGAGCAGAAAGCGAGTCAAAACGAGGCAAGTGCCGACAGTCTGACGTCGCCCAGTACCACATCAGCAGCAGCATCTTCGTCGTCCTTTGCGACGATGTCGCTGCAAGATCTGCTGACCTCACCACGTGCTTCTGGCACTAAACACAGTCACAACAACAGCAACTACGGTGCGGGTGCTACATCATCAACAGCCACAGCCACAACATCAGCCACCAGTGTCCAAACTAATTTTAATGCTAATAATAACTCGGTTATGGGTTCCGGATACAATGCAGACCACAAGCTGCCGCCGCCAAGCACCGTCGCGTCCGTCGCAATTACCAATTCGAACACAATACCCACCAACACCACCAATATGTCGCCTATTCCAGTAACTACCACTTCTATTCCTACTTCTTTTCCAAACCTAACTAGTGCAAGTTCTTTGCTACATAATCCGGGTAATGATAACCACTCATCCCACTCCGACACTCACAGCCAACGCCAGAGCCAGCCCCAAGGTGCTGCCAATGGCGTTGGTCTTCTCATTGACGCTGGTGATGGTTGCTTTACGGGCAATGTTGTAACCTCCTCGCATACTAATCCCAACTGTAATAGTACAACACCAAGTGTCGCGGTCGGGGCCATTACTAAGAACACATCTATGTTGACATCGTCGTCGTCATCCTCGCCATCGTCGGCGTCATCGTCGTCGCTATTGTTGTCTTCGTCTTCGGCCTCGGCATCCTCATCAGCATCGAACGCGTCTGCCTCGCCGCACTCGCCGCCGCCCTCGTTTATGCATGCCTCGCAGGCATCGCGCTTCCATAGCCATAGTCCAAGTAGTACAAGTTTGTTAACGGTGAACGATGGCGATCGACGCGATCCGTCGCCATATCGTTGTGGCCACTGCCATCAGGTGTCGAATTGGAAACATGTCATTCAGGTATTTGATAAAATGCATATATTAGTTTTGTGTTTTGTCCCCCTCCCAACTTGCAACCACTTCGATGAGCATTCGCGACTATACTCAGAGAAAAAATCGTTTCCGATTTTGCGTCACTCAACACTTCTAAGCGTTGAGAATATGAAAACTTAAATATAAATATTCATTTCCCTTGTACCAGTGGAATTTACGTTCCTATTTTTTCTCTGAGTGTGTGCAATGAAAATGCGAGTCAGGGCTACCGAGACGCTACCTCAACCTTTGCTAGGGAATGTAGCAAGGAGGTTAATCGTTGCAGTTTAATCAGAGCTTTAGAACTATCTGGGAATCTAACATACACCGGACGCTTGGACAAATCATGTCAGACCGTAAACGCAATTGGGCGCAGCCTTTCTTAGTAGCCATCTTTCTCTGCCCCAAAGAGTTCCCAACGCTTTAATCCGCCTCTCGCTATAGTCTCGAATATCCGTTGTATCTTGTGCGCACTTGTAGGCCAGAAGTGCCGAGATAAAAGAACACAGCCAACACACACACACACACTCACAACCACAACCACACACTCATCTGTCTGTAGTCCTAAGCTGCGCTGGTAAATATGCAAAACAAAGTTTGTACTTTCTTTATTCTCATACCGATATTAAATTACTGTTTAAATATTAATTGTGTGGTGTCTGGGTTTGCTTTGTATGTCTTACCACTAGTATAAGTATAAGAAATCATGGTGAAAGTTTTGCCTGCTCGGAAATAATCCAAAACCCATTAAACTCTCTCCATACGCCACCTAACATCGAATGCCATTGGGATTGGGTTGCAATCATGGCACAACTTAAGCCAAGCTACCTTATTTTGTGCGTCCCCCAAACACATCCACACTCACATACGAATAACTAGTCCGTTATTTCTGATAGTTACTAACTTTAATTTCCTCTTTATTTCTATACCTATAGCGGCACTGTCGCTTAAAGCATTCCGGGGATATTCGGATCGAGACCCTTGAGCGCAACTCAAATGCCAGCAACGCCGCGCCAGTTTATCGACCTCTTGGCGCCGGGGCGACAAACGAGTCCCACAGCACCAACAACAACAACAACACCAATAGCAGCAGCAGCAACAACAACAATAATACGAAAGTATCTCTCGGCTCCAGCAACACCAAAAACAATACAGCCCTCCTGATGAGCAGCAAGCAGCTCGAACAACTCCTGCACTCGCCCCTATCGGCCAGCGCGGCCGCCGTTGTAAACGCGGCGAACACGCAGCAGGATCTGCAAGCGGCCGCTGTGTACTGGGCAGCTGCTTGTAAGGCGGTCAACGCTGTGGCCAATGGCACCTCCAGCCTCAGTCCAGAGGAGATGCTGCAGCTTCAGCAGAACGATCAGATCGAAATCACGCGCTTGTCGTCATCAACGGGCAGCAACCTGACGCTGCTACTGGACCAGCAACAACATGCAACTAATGCCAACAGCAACAATAACAACAACAGCAACACGAAGAGCAAGCAGCAGAAGTGTCCGGTGTGCCCCTACATTTCGGAGAGCAAGTCCCAGATGAACTATCACGTCTCACTTCATAAACCCACCCAGTATGAGTGCAGGCTCTGCAGCTTTGTTTGCGCCAAGAAGCAACACCTGAGCAGCCACATGCGGAGCGTGCATCAGCAACATCAGCAGCAGCAGCAACAACAACAACAACTGGTAGCCACAGAGTCTATGGGACTGGACTTTAGTATGGCACTGCAACTGGCCGCAGCCGCAACTCAGGCCCAAAAGGTAAGCCCCCGCCTCCTTTTCTAATTTGGCTTAATTCCTGTCTAGCTCGTTCCTACTTGTATTCTCGATTATGAGCACCAACAAGTTCACTTAATACTAAATGGCAAATGTTGTTTTTGTCATCTTGTAGGATGTGGTCGGCATTCCTTTGGCTATGGATTTGAGCCACCTGAACTTAGACGCGCAAAAGCCTAGCGACGAACTGCCACCGGAATATCAATACAAACTCATCAGCTACTGCCCCAAATGCCCAGCTCGCTTCGCCCAGAAGCACAACGAGAAAAGTGACACCAGACAGGCATTATCCCAGCACCTGCAGGCCCATAGCCCGAGTGAGCTAGACGCCGAGGAGGTCTACGTTTGTGCCTTCTGCGAGTATCACGCCAGTGCTGAGACTATGCTGCAGCTTCACAGAGCCGTCCATATGTCGCATTACCAGGAGAAGTGCCAGCAACTGTACAAGAACTGCAAGGAAGACGCCGAGTATCCGGCGCCAAAGCTCCTTCAGATCAACGACACCAGCAACAAGGAGCTACCTGAGACTATTTGGGTGGTGGACAACGAGCTGAGCGCGCAGCTGCTGAAGCAGAATGTGAACGTCAGCTCCTCATCGACTCCAGCAACAGCAGCGGCTGGTGGCAGCTACGATAGCAACAACTCCCTTCTCAAAAAGCAGCTAGAGTCCGGTGGTGGTGGTGGTGGTGTTGCTCAACTGTCTCGCGATCAAGCTCTGTCCAAGCCCCAGTGCGACGAGGATGAGCTCAATAGCACCTCCACACCCTCGACAAGCGCCTCTGTCGCCACCAGCGACCTGGCTGCAGACGCCAGCAGCGAAGTGGGCTCCATGGACATGCCCCAATCGGCGCCGGCACCAGAGCGCTGCTTACACTGTCCATACGAAACGGACGAGCATGAAGCACTGCGGCAGCACATGCAAAAGCATGCATATGTCTCGCAACCGCCAGCAGATGCCCACAAATGCGCCCATTGCGACTACAGCGATGTGGACATGGCGCACATCGAGGCTCACACGGCCGTCCACTTCAACGCCAGCGAGAAGCTCAAGTCCGTGGAGTTCTTCACGTGCTACGACAACCTGGAGATCAGCGTGGAGCGGGAGCCGGAGCAAGAAGACGAGGATATGGCGACGCAGGGCAAGCAGGAGGAGGAGCATAACAACAATCAGGACAACGTCGTCAATGCGAATGTGCAGCGACTCCACGAATTGGAGAAGGCTGCAGAGCATGCGCAAGAAAAGAAAGCCAGCACTAAGATTATTCTCTACAAAAATGAAGGGACTTTAAGTGTGAAGCCTCCTGATGATGGCGCAACAAACCAGCGGAGCGAGAACATCAGTGATCGCCTGCGCCGCCGTATCCTACGCGGTACTCCTCAATCCTCAAGCACAGCTCCGCCCCAACCGGCCGAGGATCAGGAGATGCCCGACAAAATGATTCTGGTTAATGCTAAGACGGGCAAAGTAATATGCAGAAAATAGGCGTATGCTTCGCTGTATATTAAGCCGACAAACACAAATACATTTATACAAGTGTATATTATTGTTAAACCCACATCAGACATTCGAGAATTGTTGCCAGCCCTTTGCACAAAAGACTCATTTGACCAGTCTGAAGAATCAAGAGACATATAATTCTGCCAATTGTGTAGACAATTTTATTTAACTCTAACAGTGCAAAGGTTTGGCAACAAATCTGCTTACTTCTGTTCTGATTTCTTTATTTATTAATTACTTAGTTGTTTTTTGATTTCGTATGTATGAGTTTTCTACCTAATTGCAAACCGTTATTATGTTGTTGTTTTCTTTTTTGGGTAGGTATTTAATTTAAGGCACCCACGTTTTATTGTTACTAATACCACACACTCACAGAAACACACACACACACGTATATATATATATATATTTCTATATATATATATATGGAACACGAAACCGACCATGTTCCTGCACTTAGAAATTTGTCCTAGATTATAATTTTGTTTTAGCTTAGATGTACATTTGTTTTAACTTATGATATAAAGAGGGTGCAGCATATGATTTACTAAAACTAAACAACATATACGATACACGAAGAGATATTATACATTGAGAAGCTTGCACAAAACATCTCACCCGAGCCTAATAGTGCATAACTAAATGTATTGCAAACATATTTTGCCTACGAGCATAAAGAATTGCTGACGCATGTCCGCATGTTCGGCATGTCTTGCACATAGTTTGTACATACATACATATAAATAAATAAATATATTTGCATACATACAGACCTACATGGATATGTAGGCGTTAAGCACCAGCCAAAATTCCAATGAGTTTCAAAAAATCATTTATAGAATACACATCAAAAATTCAAAATTAACTCTTGCTAATCGACAAATTTTGTTTTTGAATGGGAACTGTGATTATTGATATGATAAACTATTGTAAATGCAACATCATTAAATGAATATGGTACTTTATACATGCTATATAAATATTTAATTAAATAATTTTAAAACTTATGTATTACACCTAAACAGGCTTGTTTTACAACAGCAAAACAATATTATCATTAACAAAGTAAATGAAAAGAGCACATGTGGAATAGCGGGGCCATATTTAAATAAATAAAGTAGTAAAAGTATACAAGAACAGTTAATTGAAAATCGCCTTTGTATACATATTAAAACAGTCTCTAAAATTAAACTACAATTAAATAGTTTACAGATTTAGTTGTTTACTACGCACATACACATTTGCAAACTACAAACTTTCAAACAAAAATGTACAAAACAATTGTTAATAAAGAAACGAAATAAACATACAGTGAATTGTATTTAAAATTTCCTTTAGCGTTGAGTATTTTCTTGCGAAATAGACAAAACATATACATATGTATGAATAAATATAGCTTTTGGGGAAATAGTGATGATATTCAAGACCCGGTTTGCAACTTTTGTGCGACGGTATTTCCAAAACCAATTTAAGGGTCGACTCAGGTTTGCTCAACAAAAGTAAATCTTTTACTCCATTTTACAAAAATTATACAAATGGATATTTAAAAGCTAAATGCATGCTATCCAACCCTTCCTAGAAGTCCGTGTACCGTTGACGAAGACTCTGGCGTTTAGCGACGTGGTTCATCTAGATGGACAATCAGAGACATTAGACATAGACCGAATGGAGTCGATTATACACAGATACTCACCAGACGTTGTTGCCTTCGCTCCCGATTCTTTTCGTAGGCTCTAAGCAGGGAGGGACACTTCCGCCGTATATAATCTTCCGATTCCCAAAAGAGACCACCCTGGTTTTCGTAACGTAACAAAAACTCTACCTGAAGACCAAAAGCGATAAATAAACAAGAACAAAAATATGTGTCATTACTTGCCTTTCCCGCCTTTGTCTCTTTCCCTAGTATACGTTCGATACCGTTTTCTGGATGGATTCTTTTGTAAAAATCCTCATCGTTGTCGTCGGACACTTCTTCAGCTGCATCTAGAATGTGCGTACATTGTGTGCAAAATATATCTTGGGCAGCTTATTTAATATTTACCGTTTTGTTGGGCTCGTCGGACAAACGTCAAAGGATGCTGCTTTAAGTAGTCCTCTGCTTCCGCAATCGTTTTAGCCAAATCAAACTCCTCCTCCGTTTCTTCTTCCTCCTCTTCGTCATCGTACTCATCCACATCCAGGTCCATGCCATCACAGTGCACTTTTGTAGCAGGGCGTCGTTTCTTTTTTACTCGATTGCCGCCATCGTTCTCTTTAACGTCCTGGTGGAAACGCACCTTTTTCACACGTCGATCACAGTTCTGTCCCTCGGGTGTGGAATTAATCGGGCTGTCTGTGGCATCACCACTGCCTTTAGAATCTTTGGCATCTTCTGTCTCTGCAGCCATCTCGACTACGGTTTCGGCAAGCGTAGTTTCCTTGAGGTCCTGCGAAATTTGTGTTACCTTTGTTTCAAAGGCTATATTACATGCTATCGTTGTAGTAGCTTCACTACTGCTGTTGCTTCCCGCCACTGAAGTACTTTCACCCACACTTGACACCACGATCTGTTTCTGAAGATTCGCATCTGCCGTGGTCATTGCCATGTCCACCGAATCACTGCCTGCCGAATCGTCAGTGGACTTGCCATCCGCATCCATTTGTGGCAGGTGTGGAAATCAAGGGAGATTTTTTAATGGGAACACGAGTATTACTTTGTATTATTTTAGTAGATTTTAAGTTGTTGCCATTGGACTAAATACGAGCGCTTTGCAGCACTGCAATACATGTACATATGTACATATATGCACCGATAGCACGATAAATTTCTGCTTCGATTTGTCGTCATTTGACAGCGCGCATTTGCTTTCACAAATCGCTGAGATTTAAAAATATCTATACCTCTGTGATGTTAGTATTTATTTAAATAAAAAGGTAAAGCCATCAAACTTGCTAATTTAGTTTGCTTTAGTGCCCAGAATCCTACTGAAGATCGAGCAACGACACGCACTACATGTATTTTGTTTTTGCATCAATCTGCTTGTGCGTCTCGCTGGCGACAACTGCATGTATTTAGTTTTCGTAAGTTCGCTTGCGATCGGTCTTTTGCTTGTGCGTCTGGCTGGCGCCACTTACCCAAACATAACGGAAAAAGCCCTAGGAGTACAAAGAACCACCATGTGCCCTTTACTAGTTTAAAGGTTTCCTTCGGCAAACTTCCAGAAAAAAGTGTTTCGGTATCTGTGAATGGCACAATTAACCAATAGCTCACTCCGATACATGTAATTTATTTCATTTACATCGAATTTGGTATGTATACAAGCGATGCCAAATTGTTGGAATTTAATCATACTAACAGTTTAAAAAAAGTATTTCGTGAATAACGTCCAAGAATACCCCTAATGTACCTCAATTGAAATGTTTTCCAACACTGTCGCGATAACGATTAACAACGTTGAATCGATAACAGAAAAATACATTTCTGCATCGCGCCGGCGTCATTTGGAAACGCGCATTTTTCTCGATTAAGGATTAAACATTCTAAACTGCATAACTAAACTCTTCTAATTCACACTAGTTTTTATCGTTACTCAATAATTTGGTATCTTGCGTACATAAAACGAGTGGATATCGTTTAAATAAATCATTGTTTAAAGTTCTTGAGTGAGTGTCTACCTTGATTTGCTCCTCTCCTTTTTTGCAACTCCCGCAAACAATTTTTTTTATTCATGTATGTATGTATGTGTGTGTGTGTGTGTGTTTATGCTTTCAGTAGATACTGATAACTCAACATAATAATGGGCAAGAAAGGAGATAATCCCGAAAACGCCGGTGGTTCCTCTGCAGCCGAAGAAGAAGAGGAAGAATTCGCAGTAGAAAAAATTTTGGACCGTCGTGTACGCAAGGGGAAGGTAAGTACAGGGTAATGTTGCCTGAGATCGCGGAAATTTGAAATCTGAAAGTGTTTATGCTCTCAAAGGTCGAATACTTCCTGAAATGGAAAGGATACGCCGACACCGAGAACACTTGGGAACCGGAGGGCAACCTTGACTGCCAGGACCTTATACAACAGTATGAGCTTAGTCGCAAAGATGAGGTACGTCTTGGTGTTGGTACAGTTTCGCCTTTGATTGCATGCATGTGTGTACATATATAAAATCTTACAGGAAAAAGGCAAGGAGAAAAAAGAACGTCCGAGCAGCAGCGCTAAAACCAAGGAATCTGGTCGCACCAGCACATCGGCCAACGCTCCCGGCGTTAAACGCAAATCCGAGGAGCCGTGTAAGAATAAAAATTCTACTATGCGAAATGCAAATTTTTTACAAATATTTTGCATTTCAGTGTCTGTACCAAAGTCAAAGCGTACCGAGGTTGAAAGTGATAGCAGTGATATGATACCGCCAGGATGTACTGGTTTTGATCGTGGCCTAGAAGCTGAAAAGATATTAGGCGCTTCGGACAACAATGGAAGGCTAACATTCCTGATTCAATTTAAGGGCGTGGATCAGGCCGAGATGGTGCCATCAACAATTGCTAACGTCAAAATTCCACAAATGGTAATTCGGTTTTATGAGGAACGCCTCTCCTGGTATTCTGATAACGAAGATTAAGGCCATGTGAAATCGGCAGAATTGAAGCCAGTTAGTTTAATATGTATCGGCGCGGAATAAGGACTGCTATTTCCAAACTTTCTAAACACCAATTATGTTCCGCTCATCAAAAAGGAAAAGCGCATAACAATTTTTTTTTTAAATGTAGTTTTTCCCTTGTTTCCATAAATAAAAACTGCATAAATCTTCTAAGATTCACTCATTATTATTAGTGAATTGAAATAACCATATTTCAGTTCTTGCCGACGAAAAGATAAAATTGATATAATAATTTGGCCGTATGTTACCAAACATAAGTTTAACAAGAAAAGAATGGTAGAGTCGAGCAGACCTAAGTCTTACATACCCTGTACCCAATCCTACAGCATAAAATTTAACAAATATATATTTTAAAAATTGATCTAAAAAATTAATTGAATTCAATAAAAATATTCACTTCATACATACATAAGTGGAGACATATGTTGATGTACAGTTTCAACAGCATACATTTACATCAGAGCCGTGTCTCTGCGTGTATGTGTGCTGTACAGAAATAAGTCAGAGCAGCAACCACAACTACAGCCGCAGGTAGAGATTACATTTCATATTCAACACATACATGCATAAGTGGAGACATGTTTATGTACAATTTCAACAGCAGAGTCGTGTTTTTGTGCAGGGTTCGTAAAATGCGACCCATTCGGACCCACGAAAAACTCTGCCGCGGCCCGCTGCCGACTGAAGCAGAGTTTCGTCTGAGCCGTCTGGCAGTGGCCATGGGCCGGCCGTGGGTCGCTGCCGACAGCAGCAGTGTCTACGAGCCGAGCTGCAGAAGCCGAGCGCTCGTTCGTGCCAGGCAGTCATATGTACGACCCGTTTCATCCCTAATAGCTTCATCTAGCTGTTTTGTCTGCGTTGGCATAGTGGTACCTGATATTATTGATATTGATAATATATCTTTAGATTTTTGGCTATAGGATAAATAGAATAAATAGACCATTTGCAAATAAAAAACTTGCTACTAATATATTTTACTATTCTAAAGAACTAGACATACATATTTATTGTAGGTTTTACTATTATGGGAACACAGTGAAAATCCCTTAACGAACGCCTCTTTCAACCGGACACCCCTCTTGTTCTAGAACATGCGTTTTGGTGTACTTTTTAGAGCAAGTTCGCTGACACTATTTTTCGAGAAATTCGAACTAAAGCCTCTTTTGGCTGGTCGCAAACCTCATGTTAGAAGACGCTGAATTGCAAAAACACATAAAATTTCCAAAAAAAAAAAAAAAAAAAAACCTCTCTTGGTCCGACGCGTACATTTTGATAATGGACGTTTCAAATGCATGCAAAATAGTTTCATGTTTATACTCTGTACATGAAAGGTACAAGAATATATTAGGTGTGCGCGAGCTGAAAAATGTAACGGGCAGAAGGAGGTGTGGCAGACCCCACAAAGTATACATTTATATTCTTGATCAGCGTGACAAGACGATCTAGCCCTGTCTATCCGTCCGTCTGCCTGTCTGTAGTTAGTGATTATGAGTCCGCATGCCAAGTTTTATAATGATAGGCCGATTTAACAGGAAGTTATAGCCATATATGTCTATACATATGACCGAGCCACCGAGACACACACAAATACACGCATAATTATTCTACACATATGTAGAGTATTTCAAAGTCCAGATACCCGACTTTAGCTTCTCTACTTGTTTTCATATTCCTTTTTTTTCTTTCTACGTAAACCCATGGGACAACATTCTTGAACAAATATTGCAAATTAAATTAAATGTTTATTTAGCTCAGGAATGGTTGCAAAAGGAAAATATTTTAGTTTTATAATACTTTGCAAGATTAGTGAATATCTGTTTTTTCTGCTATGGCTGAAGCCAAGCACTGCACACAAATATTGGTTTTGAAGGAAAAAACTTACAACTTAAACTTCAAAATATATCTGTGTGTTTATAAATGTATGTAAACCTAAAACTATTAAATTAATTTGGATCCTCATTTTTCTAATTGATTGTTATAATGTTAAACAATTAAAATAAGCAAAAAATGGAGAAAATGTCTATGTGTCCTCTTAACCGGACACAACCCGTTGGCCGGGCAAAAGTTGGTCGGCGGTGAGTGTCCGGCCAAGAGATGTTTCACTGTAAATAAGTAGTAAAGTCCCTTTAAATTACGTTGCAACGCGAAGGATCCTTAAAAATAGTATCAAGTACAATTGTAGGCAAAACAGCTGGGTCAAGCTGAAACGGAGTAGGCAGCAGGTACAGAGTGAATGAGATCGCCACATTTCGCCTTGACATACATATATACATACCCACAAGCATACCATCATACAAATTTCACAGATGCGTGATGCGACACTCGGCTTCTGCAGGTCGGTTCGTACGGCATTCTGCTTCTGCCGACAGCGACCCACCCGACCCACGGGCTCTGCCGGCGAAAACCCACTAATACCCGCGGCAGTATTCCTTATGGGTAGCAGCGGGTAATGAGCAGATTTTACGAACCCTGTTTTTGCGTGCTTATATGCGTGTATTCGTGCAGTGCAGAAATAAGTTAAAGCAACAACAAAAGCTGCGGGCAGAGATTACATCTAGGCGTTCATCCAGACGGACGGACGGACATGTCTAGATCGATTTCTCTCGTCATGCTGATTCAGAATATATCTCTATACATACTTTATGCTTTATGGGGTCGGAGATGCTTCCTTCTGCCTCTTACATATTTTGCTCAAACCTAATATACCCTTTTTACACTACGGTAGTTTAATTTTCCCCCCACTCCCTGAGAAAAACCAAAGTTTGCACACGTAATGTGTATATAATGAAATACTTTTGTTTCAAATTTCATCAAAATCGGTGAGTTCTAAGTGAAGTTATCAGTGAAACGACCACAAACTGCAGGAGGGGGTTCGCTCTTCTTCCTTCAAAAAGCCATAATTTATATGAAAATCTAGTTGTCGTGTTTTTCTGTCCTTTTTCAAATTTTCTATTCCTTTTTCCGCTTTATTTTGTGGCAAGGTGCTGGAAAACAACAACAGCTGCAGGCCCTAGGCTATACGTGTTTATTTTGCACACGTAATCTACAAATACAAATATCTACTTTCGGTTCGAATTTCATCCAAATCGGTCAATTCTGAGAAAAGTTATTAGCGAAACAATTTCACTCCAGTACTACTCTCACAAACTGCAGCATTAAATTCGGGTACAGGGTATTTCACTGTCGGGCTTGCCCGACTGTATCATCCTCTCTTGTTTTGAGTTGGGACTAGGAGAGTCTACACAACAAATTTTGTCAATGTACGCTCAGCCGCTTCCGAAATGCAGGCGTTCATCCAAACAGACTGGCGGACCTCTCTCAATCGGTTTCTCTCGTCATGCCGATTATGAATATACTTGTATGTAAGCATACATATGTATATACTTGTACATTTATATACATACTTTATTAGGTAAATTTTTCTACAGGTAAAGGGAATAAAAAATTCTTCAAAATACAAAGTCAGCCCAAAATAAAGGATATATTTCCGGATAGAGGATGTTGGAAATTTCTTCACGCTGAAGCAATATTTAAAAGGATAAATCTATCCGGATCTATACACGCACATAGAAACAATTCTGATGTACATATATATGTATGCATTAAATATTTTTTATTCAATTATTTAAAAATTCTTTTAGACTAATTTTTAAATTATATTTTCTTAAATTGTTTTCTTTTTTATGTGAGGGTACGGGGTTAGGAGTTGAGCCCGCTCATTCATTTCTTCTTTTGTTTTTTAATATTTGGGACACCCGACTTGAGCTTGTTTGGTGCTCTCTATAGTTGTTTTAGCTACGTCTGTCTGTTTATCCCAGTACGGATGTATTTCAAAATTGTTTTCCTCCCCATCCTCATCGTGAAAGATCAATTGTAAAGGAAGTTGTAGTTATCGCCAAAGTTGATTTATTAATTTACTTAAGAATGGTTAAACTGACTTAGGACTAATAAAAGTACGTGCATAAGTTTTAAAAAATAATATTTAAGTGTACATTGTTCTTAAAAATCTGTTTCTGGGCTTTGTGGTCTCGCATCATCTACGTGAATCTCGGTCTTTGGTGGTGGATTTTGTTGGCTGATAGCTGCGTCTGCAGTGCCGAGGCCGTCATGGTTCTGGGGTATACCATCACCTACGTTGCTTTCACGTACGGGCTGGCTGCTAACTATATCCGCATTGCCTGGGACATCGTGGCCAGGTGCTATCGGGTCTGCATTTGCTGGAGTAAATGACTTTAAGCTTCCCAACTGAGCTCTCACATCAGTGTCAGACAGATGATGCAGAGGAACATTGGCGGGCACAGCCAAACGCTTGGGGCTGGTACTACCGTCATCTGGCTTGCGTCTGTCTGGCGGGAAAACGACTTGAGCATAGGTTACCCCGCTGCCATTGGGTTCTATAACGCTCTGGCCACCACTAGATGAATTTGTCAGCGAGCTGGGGTTGCGTAGGACGGTGATTCCGCGCCTTTCTTGAGTGTCTTGCGTATTATCCCGACGTTGCATAGGCGAGACCGATGGCACAGTGGACGTGGTGGTGATGGGGCTTCCACCTCGGGCCGTGGGTAAACTTGTCCCTGAGCTGGTATGGTCCTCGCGTGGCACCGGAACGTACAGCGAAGGCGTGTAATTGTTGTCGGTCACCTTGCAATTGTAGATGTTCAGGTCCTTGGCATAGATGAACACCAGAACGTCGAAGAGCACCCCTGCCAGTATTAGACTGGCGGTTAGTATGTCCAAAATATTTCCGTGCTTGGGTGTTTCACGTAGCAGGCAGCGCTCGTAATGCGGTGCCCAATAGACGCAGGTAACGCCTGTAAAATAAATCGCATTTAAGAGCAATCAGAAAGGGGTTTTTGTAAACTTACGAGAGACCAGATCATAGCTCAGGTGGACCGGAATGCAGGCGAATAGAAACAAAAACATTACTTCAAATGCAAGTGCCAAGCTCTTATCCTGGGGCAGCACAGCGCGTAGCGTAATTAAAGTCCTTCCGATGACTCCCACGCCCAGCATGAACGCACTAGAAATACTCAAGATCTGAAAAATGATGATCGTATTCTGGCAGCGCGCCGAACTACAAGCTCCTAGGGTAGCACTACTGTCGCCCAAGTTATTCAAGGTTTGATCTCCACGGCAACTGCAGTCTCCATACAACTCATAGCTGTTTATAGTCATCTTTTTGCTGCAGCCGGCATAGCAAGGTGAAAAATAGGTCACGGTACTGTTCTCCGGGCACACTGGCATAAAGGCGGTTGGCGTGCACAAGCATTGACTGGAACAGTACGGCTGAGTCAGCTTGCCGCCAACTATTCCGGCAATAGCACCAACATCGCAAGTGAGGAAGATATATCCCACGAATATGCCGACCAAGTGAAGGCCGATAGCAATATTTATGCCTGTAATCTTACGCGCGGATAGCTGGGCTTTGGATATTACCAATCCACCAATCAACATTCCAATGGCCAATACCGGTGGCCTGAGGAAATACGAGACGAAAGCCGCCTTCCATTCCTGCGCGAGGCCGTCCTGTTCGCTGTATGGCAAGAAGAAGCGGGACTGCAGATAGCTCTCCTCCTGCGATGCGTAGTTGATCACAGCTGCCTGCACGAACATGATGCTCATTATGTTGAACATAAGCAGCTTGTTCCCGAATAACCGCTTCAACGAGGGCCAGAAGTTTGTGTCGTCAACGTAGGTGGCGAACTGACTTCCAAAGTTCCGCATGTTCGATTGCTCCATAATGTGCTGAGCGGCCTGATGTATGACGGTCTTGGGCAGACGCTTGGGAAACAGCCCCAGCAACACGGCACTCACAAAGACGAGTGGCGCCAGAATTATCCACCCAAGCCACCAGCCAACATGGGTCACTCCCACGCCCAACACCAGTAACGACCCTATTTGCTGGCCGAAGGCGCGCGCTGCCAAGGTGGCTGAAATAACCGCCGGACTGTCCTCCGACAAGGAGTTGTCGTCTATGTAGGTGACCCCAAGGGTGTAGTAGGCCAGGGAGGCCATTCCCAGGGCCAATTGCAGAACAAAGAGTAACACCAGCGTTATGCTGCTGCTCTGCTCCTCGGTCAGGGTTAGTCTCTGCAGCTGGGCCAGTGATGTGGAGCACATGTTGCTATCGAGCGACTGATCCTTCGGCTTCACACCATCGGCGCTGTAAGAAGTGATTGCGAATTCGTTTAAAACAATAATAATTGTAAGTTTACATTCCTGGTACATACAAGTTCATTATCGATGGGATAACGGAAATGACCAACGTCGCAGCCTGCAGCATAAGCGTCCCCACGAGCCATTTAATTGGATGGTAAACATTGGCCCAAAATGCAAAAGCCAAAGCGAATATGGCCTGAAAGAGTCCACTACTTGCCAGCAGCCAATCTGTTAGGAAAGAATTAGCATTAACATCGAACAAAATCGTATCTTCCACGAAGATGGCAAGCTTATTTGCTTTTCAACACGTAAAACTATTGAGTTTTAAATGACACTTTACATTCGTTTTAGCTTTGATAAACACAGATAAATTCTTTGAATTTAAACACCAGGCTGCTGAGACATACATACATATGTATCCCATCAGGCCAACACTCACTAACTGGCTATTTGATGACGAATAGATAAGTTACGCGTTCACTCACACACGCACTACGTACTATAAGCTACTAATAAACAATATCGCAAAACTGATAAGCCAGCAACAAATTCAGGCCAGTTTCGGCAGAGTATCACCTTGGTACCCCTGCCTGCATTTTCCATTCTCTGGCGATAAGAACTCGCTCTCTCAGCACACTCCCAAAGTGCCACTGCGATTACTCACCCACAATCAAAGGATTATAGTTGAATTGTGTGGCTGCCTGCTTGGCGGAAATGCGAAAATATGATTCACAGGCCCCTTGGAGAAGACCCGCACTGGTCAGGACAATAAGGAAGGTGCGCACTCGTGCGTATTTCTGACAGCCAGGGCTGCGGCACCACCCCAAGCCCTTAATGCCACAGTCAATACTATCTGCGGGATGAAGATACACGTATGAATGGATTTCCCAAATGTTACGATTTTCTCACCTACCGTCTGGAATGCTTTGAACGTTTACTGCTATCTGTGATAGGTTGGAACTCCGTGTAGGCTGCGCCATTTCAGAGTTGGATTTCGTGGTTCTATTCGAATATATAGTAAGTATGTATAAGTTCACTCGATCTCTGCTGCACTACACCAGTAGCATGTTTGCAATGAAGACACCGATAACTTCTCGTACCTTGCGCTACATGCGTCTATTCGAATTCGTGGTCGTAAGTAGAATGAGCCCGCTCTCGATGTTCATTGTCAATGAATGGTGTTGGGCTCGGTCTTATCTAAATGGCTATTTTCCGGCCAGAATACGAGTGAGATTGAAAGAGTAGTTGGGGGGTTTTATTGAGCTTTTTGAATATCTACTGAACTATTGCTTTTTACTACTAAGAAGCATATAATAATATAGACAACAAATAGAGGTATTGAACATAGGTAAGATTGCACTAAGAGTGTAAATGTACATAAAACTAGCAGAAGAGTACAAAAATGTCAATGCTTCAGACATAAAAAGTTTAGTTGTTAATGTTAGTTGTAAATCGTAGTTGATTTACAGGACCTTTTTTAATCGCAATCTAATCAAAACATTCAAATAAATGTATATGAAATATCAGTTAATAATATGATTACAATGTTATATTTTTAGCTATTTTTTGCTGTCCAACCTGCCATTTTTTGTAATTGACAGTTGGCAGCACTGGTTGGGCTCGAACTTATCTTATCACATGTTGCTGTTTCTGCTGCAACAATGTTGCCAGCAACACGATTTTGTTGTAGCAACACAGCGCCTTCACTTTTGTATTCCAAGACTTGAAATTGCTGTAACTATCGAAAAAAGTGTTTCAATAATTACTTGTAATTAGCTTTTGGTAAAAACTTGTGTTTTATTGTACTCTGTATCTGAAAGGTAAAAGAGTATGTTAGGTTTGTGCAAAGTGTAACAGGTAGAAAGGGGCGTGCCAGACCCCGCAAAGTGTTTATATCCTTATAACAAGACAAGTCGATTTGGCAATGTCTGTCTATTCGTATTAATCACCTACCCTTAGAGAATACTACTATATCAGCTAGAGACACCAAATAAAACACACAGATGCCTTAAATATGTATGCAATACAAGCGTATTCAAAAATTTTCCTCCAACCCCCACACCCTCGCTATTAGTGATATTCCAAAGCTTCCGAGATTCTTTGCATTTTTAAATAAAATTTGGCAGTTACATCCGGTTATGCGTCCGTAAATTTAATCCCGATAGGCACATGTTCAAGGAAGTTATATAGTAGTCATAAATGTAATCTCTGCCTGCAGGATGTAAATTCGATCATTTATTTCAATTTTGTTTATTGTTCCTTTTTCAATTTTGCTAATTTGTTTAATTATTTTACAGTGTATTTCAAACTCAGGGCACCCGACCTTAGCTTCTACACTGGACCTATAAATTGTGCATCCTTCTGACTGCCCCCACTCTTTATATATTTCTTCGAAAAAAATAATATCGAAAAGTCATACTGCTGAGAGAAAACAATCAAAAAGTCCTGATATTGTGGGTTCGTTCTTTTGTTCAAACAACTTGGATAAAATGAACAGATTGTTATTGGAAATCTTTCTCCTACTGGCTGCTTTGGCCAAGACCTGTGCTGGTGGGGATCCGCCGGTACTAATGTGGGGTCTCGACGCGTAAGTTTTCAGTCAGCGGAAATCCTCAATTCAAAATAGCCCGCCCTCACTAATCCACAGGCCTGCACCAGACACAATTTTTAAACCTGTTGAAAGCGAAATGTTGGCTGATTTCTTGGACCCGCTGCAGGAAAACTACATGATCGTGGTCTATTTTGCACAAGAGGTAAGTAGAAAGTCGGCATATCCGGGAGCCAGCTGATATTTGAACATTGAATATTTGAATACACAGCTCTCGCCGAAGGACTTCTTGTGTGAGGTGCCCGAATCGTCACAGAAATGTTTCAAATACCTTAGTGAGGTCTTTCCGCTCAATTACTATAGTCAAGTGCGGAGCCCTCAACGCGTGGTAGAGCTGTTCGCTTACAAAGATCCTGATTGGCAGCAACTGAACGTGAGCGCCGAGCTGCAGCTTCAGCTTCAACAGGCCCCAATATGTGAACCAGGTCTGGTACATGCCTTCAACTTCAGCGACACCCATGCCCTACGACATCAGAACCTCCTGGCTCATGGTAAGTAAGCGGCGTACTCTAAGGGAAGTAAACTTGACAATCCGTCAACAGATCAGTTCATTGCCTCCGTATCCGAGCATCTTAAATCCTGTCCAGTCATACAGCTATATACAGCATTTGATGCGAGTAGCCAGCACCGAGAGCGTCGAGCCGACGATTGGGACCAGTTTAAAAAAGTTTCGCCAACTCCGAAAGCAGATATGGACACGGGCGACGTCGGCATAGTGCAAGAACCTCACAACCTGACTGTACTTCGGGCGGACCTAGGCCTCCTGGTGTACAAAAAGATAGTCTATGCTATTGAAGTGAAGCAAGGGAAACACGTCTACTACAGACGACTGTACATCAAGCTGGTCGACAATGAACTGATGGTGGAGGTGCTGAACACGAGTGTATCGCAGCTCGGTTTCTTGTTCACTCTAAATACTGTGAAGGGGCCCTTGCAAATTGAAATTCGAAGCACGAAAGGAGACTGGCGAGTTACGCAGTTCATGTACCAGGGTGGTGTTAAGTTTCAGACCATTGATCTGATTTTCTATAGCAAGACCCACTCGCTTTGCTGCACAGCCATTACGGCGTATTCGCCGCGCGGGGATCGAATAACCATATACGACCTTTATATGGACGTGATAACAAATGGTAAGTGGCAGAAAGTGTCAGAATGATTCGAACCTAACCGGACTTCCCACAACCGGGCGTAGAAAATCAAACGGGAACTGATCCGAACTATCGCCCGAAGCCCTGCTGGTATTGCGAAATATTCATAACCTCAGGAATCGCACAGGCCACCTTCACGGTAATTATTCTGATTTCCCTCCTAGCCTTCGGATTCTCGATGATCTGGGACATTGGCAAGAATTCAGCCGTTCCGGTACTTAATAGAGATAGAGACCCGTTGGAAGCTGTCCGTTAGCCATAGAACTCTCGCAACCACCCTCGGCCGCCACTGCTCGCAGTGCACAGAACCGCTACACGTTTTTTGTAATTCACTTGCTTACGAATTTAATCATTTGAATCCGAGCATCGCCGATGGAGGAGGCACTGGAGGGGATGGCGCGGGTGTCCGTTTACAGAAGTGGATCGGCAGACGCCATGCGCCGTGCAATAGTTTAATTTTCGTCATTGCTGTGAATAGTACAATGGCTTCGGCGTATCTTTTAATCAAATACTTTCGTGCGTTTTGGATAGCATTAAATAAACAATTTACCTAGCACGTTAGGTTCCAAATTTTAATTACACGTGCGTTTAACTCGGCGTATGAGCAACATTCGATATTCTGCACGAGTCCGAACCGCATTTCTCAGCTCGTCATTGCTGATAGTGTGCTAGCGCTTTATGGAGGTGCACTTAGCGGCGCAGACGGACCTTCTCGGCCAATTTAAAAATTTCAGCCGTCAGTGTCAATCGCGCATCGCCGCCCAATGGTTCAACGCTTTGTTATCCGATTGTTAGCTCTCTCTCGAATTGAGAAATTTAAGCAATTCAATTAATCGGCGAGTGCCGTTAAGTGACGATAAGATTACTTCTAATATTTTTCTTGTGATAAAGCATCAATATTTAAAAATAAATATTCGATTGAAGTACACAAATAATATATACAACGCGTATAGCAATAATTAAAGAGGACCTAACATCCTTAAATAACATAACCCATAACTTATAACGAGAATCTCTTTGTGCTTCATATTTGAGAGAATTCATGGGAAAGGTTTTTGTTTTTAATAGAATCCAATAGCTGTGCAGGTGCGCATCAATTTTTTTTTATTTTGCTGACCCTCAACGTAATCATCGTTATTAGTAATCAATTGTTTATGATAGGCTGAGCATTTATTTGGTCAATAACCAGAGCCACATGTCACTATCAAGACGAAGGTGGTCGCCACAAAAATCGTACGAAAACTGTGATAAGATATAGCCGTCAGTCAGCATAACTGGCACATTTTCCAACAATTGCCCAAACCGAAAGCAATGTTTCGCAGATCACTTAATACAATCAATTTTGTAATTATTAGCAATCTAATCGTCAGTTTCAATGCAAATAAAATGTCTAGCCTAGGCGCCCACCCTCTGTGATACAAAATTAAATATTATCGGGCATAACACTAACACTAAAGTTGTTTACCCAGTCATCGTTATTGGAATATTTTCGAAACGGTTCAGGAACTGTTTTGATTTTCGCCAAACCAAACAGCTCGGCTAACGTTCGATCATTATTTACAAGTTCATCAAAATACTCTTTCTTTACATGCACAGTGAATCAGTGATAAGACAATTGACTTGGGCACATCCACGACTATTATTCGTAAACACACACAAATTTGCAAACACAGAACTCGGCTAAAGATCTGATATGGCGGAAGTACGAAGGACTCCTCCAGGGCATTACCTCTGCGGTATGTCTAATTGGCATCCAGCCTGGCTACAAAAATACGCCACCACAAAAACATTTATGGGTGTCTACGGACTGCTCGGCACAATTCAAGCCATGTCTTACATGTATTTCATCGTTACATTAACCACACTAGAGAAACGCTTCAAACTTCCCAGTCAAACCACAGGTAATTAATGTGGGTCCCGAAATAAAGGTTCCCATATCATGTCACCACTCTGTTTCCATAGAAGCATTTCTAACTAGTTTCTCCCTCTCAGGCATTATCCTCAGCGGAAATGAGATATCTCAGATAATGTTGTCACTCATTTTATCATATATTGGTGGACAGCGCAATCGGCCCCGCTGGATCGCCTGGGGCATTGTATTCTGTGGCCTGTCCTGCTACATTTTGGTACTACCACACTTTATTTACGGAGCCGGGCAAGAAATGCTCCAACTGACGGAAGAGTATCAGAAGAGCTTGGGAAATAGCACCGATCCAAACTTCACGGCTGTGGTAAGACCAAATGCTTTCATGCTGATATGTTACGGGTAAAGCCTCACTTCCCTTACTTCCAGAACGTCAGCACTTTGAAGAACCAACCAGAACAGCTTTGCGGCTCAGGCAAGCATGAGGAGGGCTGCGACAGCCTGTTTTCCTATGTACCCCTGGTGCTCATATTTCTGTCCCAATTCGTGTTGGGCGTGGGAAACACCCTATACTATTCCTTGGGACAAACCTACCTCGATGACAACACAAAGAAAACGAATACCCCGCTTATGTTAGCCGTGGCCATGGCTTTGCGGATGATTGGACCCGTTTTTGGATTTTTTTTCGGTAGCTACCGAAAAGATTTCCTCTAGACAATTCAATAAATCGAATTCTAATTCCACCCTGCAGGCTATCTATCGCTAAACATGTTTATTGATCCCAGCAAGACGCCGCTAATAGACAATAAGGATCCGCGTTGGTTGGGAGCTTGGTGGCTTGGCTGGATTATTCTCGGTACCCTGATGTGCCTCTTCTCTGGTCTGATTGGGCTGTTTCCCAAGCAATTGCCCAAAGCTACAGATTCAAGCAAACACAATTCGCACACACCTCACGTCCTTCGCCACGAAGAGCTGAAGAGGAGCTCAGCAGAACATTTGCCTTTAGGCAGAGGCTTCTCCTCAAATGCGACGCTGGACACTGTGGCGGCAGGCGCGACCTCAGAGTTCCCGCAACTCAAGGACTTCCCGCGCGCTCTGATGAGGCTATTGCGCAACAAGCTGCTTATATTTAACATCATTTCGGGAGTATTCTATATTCTGGGTGCCGCTGGATATATGACCTTCCTCACTAAATACATGGAGGTTCAAATTTACGTTTCAACCACTTAAACCTATTAACGACCGTTTTCATTTAGGTCCAGTTTCATAAATCGGCGCAAAGTGCGACCATTGTTGTCGGTCCTATCTCGATTTTGGGAATGGTCGTCGGATTGATTGGCTCTGGTCTGGTAATATCCAAGAAAAAACCATCTACAAGCAAAGTACTGTTATGGAACGTGTTTGTCGGCTTCATCTACATCTTGGGTCAAATCTCCTATACATTCATGTACTGCCCCGACTCGATGTCAGTGGCACATGATGGCAAGTATGTGCCGTTAGTAATCAGGACTCCATCCGTAAAATCTAATAATTCGCCTTTCAACCTCTGACCAGATTAAATTTGACAGCCGAGTGCAACGCCAACTGCTCCTGCAGTGGCGTCCCCTACTCGCCGGTCTGCCACGAGCCGAGCCAGATCACCTACTTCTCAGCGTGCCACGCTGGCTGCAGCTCATGGGATGGCGATCTGAAGCTTTACGACAACTGCGCATGCGTGGCTAATACCACAATCCAAGCATCCGATTCCAACACCACTCAGCGACTCCTGCAGTTACTGACGGAGAACCCCTACACGGTGCAAGTGGAGAAACTTGCCACCACGGAGACGATCAATCTCAAGGAACTGCCTTTTAGCGATGCCACCACGGAAACGATCAATCTCAAGGGACTGGCTGTTAACGATGACTTCTCAGCCGAGCTCAACAGTGTTGATGAGGACTTTCTCTCGAGAAGCAAGCGCGCTTTTGCCGATTCCATAATACGTCCAGGCGTTTGCATGGAGGGCTGTAATGCGGCATTCTGGGCGTTTTCAATCACCTCCATGATTGTGAATTGGTTTGGCTCTTCAGGTCGCATTGGAAACGTGCTGGTCAACTATCGAGCCGTGTCCCAACAAGACAAGTCCTTTGCTCAAGGCCTGGCACTCATGATGATCAGTTTGTTCGCCCTTATTCCTGGTCCCATCATATTCGGTCGTATTATAGATTCGAGCTGTTTAGTCTGGACAAAGACCTGTAATGGGAACGGAAACTGTCAGTTGTACGATCAGGCTCGTTTTCGCTATTCAGTGAACATATTATCATGCCGTGAGTCCTCAGCAACAATGTCCGTTTCCATTTACTAAGCAATTTCCTTGTAGTGCTCACTTTCTTTGGCGTGTTCTTCGACCTCTTGGTCTGGTATTATGGGCGTGATTTGGATCTTTATGGCGAGAAGGAAGCAAAACGCTTGGAACAGGAAAGCAGGCGAAATGCAGCGATTACACCATTATTGGCGAAGAAAAATGAGAAATAAGATTTCTCAGAATGATGGGAACTCCTACGAGTGCCGAAGCCCAAAATGTACCTACATCCTTTAGATGCAAACCGATGATCACGTTGAGAATTTTGTATGTGAATTAATTAATATACTCTTTTGTACTTCTAGCTATAAATAGTTCAATATATTTATTAAATCATGTAGACGCACGTGAGAGAACTCAATCATCTGAAAAGATAAACCTGAGTGAGGGGGGCATGTTTCCTTAAAAATTAATAATAAAAGAATAAGTAATTGTTAGAAACGATGGCATTTTGGTTCTTTTGCGTTCTTTTTGTTTTATTGATAAAAAATGCTCAAATTTATACGGATCGTTTTTTAATGTATGCATGTATAATAATACATTTTATGTTGTATAAATATTTCAATCAATTGTATTTTCATACAGTTTTGTTTATTATTCAGTTGCGTAGTTTTTCTTTATCCGTTTAGTAAGTATTTGAAACATTTTAATATGTTCACGTATAACTGCCCGAGAAATTTTAACAAATTGTCGTTATGTAACGTTTCTCAATCGAGTCTTCGAAGCCGGAGGAGGTTTGGAAAAAAGCGTTAAAAAGCAGATTATATATAATGGGTTTAACGTTAAGTTAATTACATTAACTTATTGAAGGACCACTAGATGTTTGTCGTTTTTTAAAAAGGGAAACAATTTTTGATTTGTTTTTTCTTCATGTTCAATTATCTCTTCTGTAAAAAATTGCGTCATTCGCTATATGTATATAAAACGTGCAACATAAAAAGGGAAAAGGGCAGAGTACTTGTATAAAATAGAGAGAAAATAATAAAACAAATAAAAATTGTTCGCAGAACCCAAAAACAACTGAAGAATAGTGCATTTTTTATTCCGTTTCACAATCGATTTGTTGTTTTCTTTTTTATATAAATTTACTAATTTGAATAATGTAAGGGTTGAAAAATTAGGAAAATACATAAATTATAGGGAGCGAACAAATGGTTGTAGGCATATAAAATAAAATCTAAAGATAACATATTACGTAATCAAAGTTGCGGATAAAACTTTACTTTTATAGAGATGTAGATGTCAAAAAAGAAGATGCTCACTTCATTTTAAGCTTAAATTTAAATTAAAGCAGTGTTTTAAATTTGAATATTGAAATAACAAGACATTGATTGATATCTGCTTCATTTTCATTTTAGCCCGCGTGGAAATAATATTGTGGGTGTTTAGCAAATAACAAGTTGCAATACAAAATATTGAAGCAAAAATAAAGAGTAAACAAAATTATTCCACTTATTAACGGTAGCGGTCTTTGTATAAATATAAAAATGGTAGCTTACAGCTTTAGTTTTAAAATTCACGACTGCTTTTGTTTTAAACTTGTTTTAGGCATATACATCGGTTATTTTGGTTTATATAAATAATAAACCGGAGCCGGCGGCTTGTTGTGTACATTTTTCAATATCAGTGCCTCAACAAAAACCTATTTGCGATGGCATAATAATCATAAACGCCATAATCGTATATAAATATTACATCTTTTTAGCAATTTTCCGATTTAGTTACACATAATATAGTTTATATTTTATATATAATGCATTTCTGTTGCTCTCTTTTAACTCTACTTTTATGCTTGTAATGCACTCTACGATTCGTTCATTTCGTTTGCTATTTAGATACTTTCTATAACGCTGTCTATTCATTATCATAATCAATTGCTATTGTTGTAATTTAAATTTGTGGTTGGTTTGTTGGTTGTTTGTTTGTTTGTTTTTAGTAGAGAAAGTAAAAGTACTTTTGTGTGTGTGTGTGTGTGTGTGTGTATATGTGTGAGAGTGTAAAGTTGTCTGTTTGGGTTGTCAATAAAATGTATATGAAAAAAACGTGGCATTTGTCGTTTACGTGCGTTTAAAAGTGCGCGGGATCCGTTGTTGTTCCGCAGCAAAAGGCGGACGCTCGAACTGAGCTTAGCTCAATTTATTCGATCACTTTCAGCACTTTTCCAATAGCAATGGTTTTGTCTGTGGACAAAAATTGGATATGAATTGTAAAAACTTGTTTCAAATCATAATTTAACTCACTCTCATCTCTCAGCGTAAAACGACCCATTTGTGGAAATAGTTTAAATTGTTCAAGGCATATCATTCCGGAACATTCAATACGCATAATTGCAACCTGATCCTGTTTAACGAATCTTGGACGTGTTTTTGATTTCTCGCCAGTCTTTTTGTCGACCAAACATATTAGTGCCTGCAATGAGAAAGACATTTTTACTTGCATCATTTTTATCATTCTAGAGAAATATTCATGCACCTACCTTCACCGTCACCTCCTCTGCGGCACAGTGTATATGCATAACTGCCGAGTAGCCCGCACAGATAATTGATTTGTGTTCTAATATAACGACCTGAGCATCAAAGATTTTGCCTGTTTTAATTGGATTCGCCGCATCGCAGATCACAAAACCAGGTGACACGTCCTCTTCCTCAATGCCCTGTGAAACAAAAGCGATTTATTTAAATTGTCATCCGTAATGTTGGGTAGTGACTTACTTTCAGCTTAATTTTGACATTTTCACCTGGACCCACGGATGTCACTTCATAGTCGTCTGAGAACAGTTGATCCACAGCCACTTGCGTCTGTCATTTATTAACAAATGAACGATTAGTATGGTATATATGTCTGCCTTATGAAACCAAGCTACTCACCCGATTTGGCATTACAAGCAAATTCTGTCCCTTGCGCGCTGTACCGGATTCCACTTTACCCATGACTACTGTGCCCATATCTTTGTATTTGTCAACAATTGGCATAATGAATGGGCCATCTAGTTTGCGATTGAGCGAAGGCAGTTCATCGATGAAAGGTATGAAGGCGGGCCCTCTATACCACGGGCATATTGTTTCTGATATTTGTTCCCTCAATCCCAGTCCACTTAGACCCGAGCAAGGCATAAAGGTAAGATCCTTAGCTGGATTAAAGCCCAGCTTCTTGAGGTATGGTAGTATCTTGTCTTTGCATTCGTTGTAACGCTCCTGATCCCAGTTCACTGTCGGGTCATCCATTTTGTTTACGAGCACGACCAAATGCTTAACGCCCGCAGTCTTCGCCAACATGGCATGCTCGCGCGTTTGCCCGCCTCGGTCAAATCCCGTCTCAAATTCACCTTTCCGCGCCGATATAACCAAAACCGCCAGATCTGCCTGTGCCGCCCCGCCAATCATATTAGGCACAAAACTTTTGTGACCAGGCGCATCAAGTATGGTGAAATGCTTGCGATCCGTTTCGAAAAAGGCTCGGCCCACCTCAACGGTTTTGCCTTTGTCGCGCTCTTCCTGATTTGTGTCCAAGGCCCAGGATAGATACCAGCTTTCGCGTGACTTCTCGCGCGCTTCTCTTTCGTATTTTTCTAACGTGCGTTTGTCCACCATGCCCGTCAGGGACATGATTTGGCCACCAATTGTCGATTTTCCAGCATCTATGTAGGTTAATAGACGACAAGAGATTAATAAGATTTTCTGCCTGGCAACTTTCGCTACCAAGGTACTTACCAACATGACCTATAAATACGACGTTCACATGCTCACGCTTGCTTCTATTCTCCTCCACTTTCGGTATCTTTTTCTTTGAGACTTTTGGCGTAGCTTCTCCCTCCGTAAATTCAGCATCATCGATCTCCTCGTCATCGGGTGTAATAATTGCGTCGTCTTCATTGTCCCAGCTATCAGCAGGATCGGTTTCTGCAAATAAAGATTTTTTATCAAAATGGTCGTAAATGTGTAGATAGCGACGTACTTGCGGCCATTTGAAGTAATAGAACTCAAGAAAGTTTACAATATAATAATATGACAGTGTACGAATATTTAAAAAAAAAAGCCTTCTCCAAGCCTTTGAATATCCAAATATGCATGCATATACCTACATAGATATAGTCATGAGAAAAAGAAAAGAAACGGACCCTTGCATTGAGGAAGTTCAATCAGTAAGTCTGCTTCAACTGGATTGATTTCATGAAAAAGGTACATTAAAGAACGTTACAATAAAGAGCAGTTAAAATGAAAAATATTTATTTGGCATTCTATTTGTTTAGCTTGTGCTTGTGACAATTGCGGCTTTTAGGTATTAAGCTTTAGGATACTTTACAAAGAATGTATGTATGCACGATTATACATACATATGTATGTATATCACACATGTATATTCCACATCTTCTTTCGTGTGATATATTAGTACTCCTTATTATACCGTACCTCCTTCGGCAACAGAGTATAAAAAGATACCACAAAAAATATAGCGACAACCGTATTTGTTGTATTATAAACGAGAAAAGTGTTACTTGTTAAATGCAAAGAGATGGTCAAATTTGTACCGTCCATATCACACCCATCGAGATCATTAATTTAAATTAAATATCGAGTTCATTTCGATTTTACATATTATTATCGAACTTTCTAAGAGCGGGTTGGTCACACTTCAACACTTTCACTTTTGGAGAAATACTACAATATTTATCTGATTTTTAGCATATGTACATAGCATAACTGTAGTGGTGCCTGCATGCAAATATACCAACAAACTGTATGCACATACATACATATGTATGTAGGTATGGACATGTGTGTGAAATATTATTAAAGTAGTTAGTTAAAAACTTGATCGGCAAAACTTGCTATGTGTATTGTAGAGGAGATACGGAACGAAGGGGAGTATTAAAAAAGACAGCTTAGCTATCAGAATAGCGTTCAATGCCTACCCGAAAGCTCCCTTAGTTTAGTTTTAGTATATCCATTTCGAATTAATAATAGTTTGGTTTGGCTTGTTCGTTTATAAATATTGAACTGGTTTGGAATAGCATTGAACACTTTGTGTCAACCACAATTGGGGAAGAGCCTCTAGCTCCACCAAAATAAAAGACACGCACAAAAATAACAGCTGTTATGGATTTAAGGAAAAACTGACTTTTTATACGGTTGCTTAACACATTTTTCGCGTTCGTTGGCATAATCTTTAAACTTCGATACAAAAACTTAGCTAAAATAGTTTTGCACAAATTAGGCAAACTTTACGTGCAACGTGGAAAAGTAAAAGCTACATACTGAACACAAAAATGAATTTCTATGCAAACTCGGTGCCGTCTCTGCTTGCTAAGGCCAGCCAGCTACTAACAACAGAATCAAGTTCAAAGCAGTTCTAACCAAAAGGGAGCTGACACTCACACTGAGCAGACATGTGGGCCATATCAGTAGTGGCAACAACAACAAAGAATGTTGTTGAATGGAGCCATCACCCCTCTCCGACGCACTCCTATAACAAACAAGTGATCTCAAATGAGTGTGGAGCAACAGCACTAGTCTGTTCGGCGAAAGACAGCACTACTTTTTAGCGAGTGAATCAACGAACAACACAAGACGGCAACAAAACGAGTGAAAACGGCAAACGTGTCAAAACACGGTGATAGTCGTCGAATGTTAAGCATAAAGACATGAGGCCAGAGGGAAATTGTTGGTGAAGCGCAAGTGCCAACAGCTGCTGCGTATGAATGGCATCGGATTAATATGTAAAAAGGGGAAAAATACTCCAATCTCTGGTTGTTAGCGTGAAAATCAAGACATATTTGAGATCTCTTTTGCCTTCAATTTTCGTTAACATTACGACAACTATACACACAAATAAGGGACAGCTAATCACGTTGCACATTTGTGTTTGTTGCTACGTTTCTCACTCTACGATAGCAGCATTTGAGGTTAGGATCAAGAATAGTAACCTACCTTTTGCATTTGTCGTTAGGCAGTGTCAGAAGCAGGTAAACAACAACAACTAAGTTGCCTTTGTTTGGTATTTCCTACTGGTGTTCTGCAGACACACACAGGCATGCATTTACGAGACACGTGACGTCACTTTGAAAAACAACGCGCACGGCAACACGCACATAGAAAAGTTCAATGCGCCCATTTCTTTTTACATGGTAGAACAGAGAAACTACCCCCATTCACCCACACCAACACACTTGCATACATCACTCCCCACCATCCTCACGCACACTGTGACTCGTTCTCCTTACCATTGTTGGCTGCCGTTTTGTCCGCCGCACTTATATTTTCGACTGGCGCTGCCGCTGTTGCTGAAGAAGGCGTGGTGACTGGCGACCCTTGTACTGGCGATGTAGAGTTCGATGAAGAAGGCGCCGCCGCTATCGCCTCCGTTCCCGCTGCAGCTGCTGCTGCGTTTAGGGCATTTGTTGAATCTCCAGAGCCTGCAGAATCAGGCGTTGTGGCTGGTGTGGCACTACCAGATGCCGGCAAGGAGCTGCTAGGCGCAACAGTCTCCACTGGCAGCTGCTGTTGCTGTGTTGTGGTTGATTGTGGTGCTGGCGCCGAGACTGCCGCTTGCGCTGCAGCCGCAGCAACAGCCGCCGCGCTGGCAGCACTATTGTAATTAAAGCTGGGCACAAATTCCACTGCATTCACATTTAGAGTTGAGAATTTTGTTGTTACTTCTGTGTTTTCCTGCGCCGCCATAGTTGGATGTGTGTTTTTGTACAGAATTTCACTTTTTTCTGTTCGAATCGGATATAATATAAAAATTACACGCGACGAAATCGACGGCAACGACACACTTTCGCCCTCCTACTTATTCCGCTGCTTCTACTTCTGCGGCTGATGCTTCTTCTTCTTTCTACTAATGCAGAACACTCACAAAAACACGCGGGAGTGCTGACACACAAACACACACTTTTACGGCGGATCCAGCCAGACGCAGAGTTGCGGATTTGGTAATACTCCCAATTGGAATTGGTTCTCAAAGGCACACGCCTGATGATGTAAAACTTTATTAGTTGAAAAGTAATTTCTTTTTTGAATATCGCGAAACAAAAATAATTTTTTTTTGTATGTGAAAGCTTTGGATTTGTTACTGACACCTTTTTCAGTCTCAATGACACCAACCACGTTGCCAATTTTACTGCTCTGTGCTCACGTTACGTATTTGCATGCAACGTAGACGTAACGTTAAATTGCTTACAGGTGAATTAACTGCGCAGCAATTGTTAAATTCGCGTACTCTGCAAGCTATGGCAAATTCCTTTAATCTCTATTTAACACCTTTCCCAACAACAAACGCGTAAAAATATACTGAGTTGCTCCCAATTGAATTGCAGCCCTAGACTTGTTCAGTGTTGATTAAGAACGTTTGACATTTGGTAGGGTAGCACTGAATTGACATATAGCGTGTGTAGCCGGCCCGGCTGCCATTATTCTTCATTTCCCTTTTGATTTTCGTTCGGTGTAGACGTTTGTGGAAGGGCGCTTCAAGTTTACTGTGTAAAATTGTGTTAACAAAAAGTAGATAAGCATATTAACAAATACATTTTATTGTTAAAATATTTCCTAAGCAATGAGTGCAAGTGGCGGTGGTGGTGCTGGAGGTGGTGCGCGACCTCCACCAAGAATTGACGGCATGGTCTCATTGAAGGTACATATATACGCAATATGGCGGCTAGTGCTGCAGCCGTCGCCATTTGTGAGGCGGTTTTTTTTTCGTTATCTAACCATTCTATTATACATACATACATACTCGCCTGTGCACAAAAAAAATATATAAAATAACTATTTGATTTGCAGGTTGATAATCTCACATATCGGACTACTCCGGAGGACTTGCGTCGCGTTTTCGAACGCTGCGGTGAAGTTGGTGACATTTACATACCACGTGATCGATATACACGCGAGAGTCGTGGTTTTGCCTTTGTTCGGTAAGTTACTGTCGAGTGTGAGGTTAGATTTGCATTTATTTTTGCACATTAAGAAAATTTTTGCATACTCTGCGACTTTTTCTCAGTCATTAAATGCCAGATAAATTGTATTCAAATTGCAACTGTTGCCTACGAACCTTTACTAGGCGACATACGCTGAATACAACAAAGCTGCCAAATTGTAGAAAGTTGGAACTTTCACATACGTGAATATGTACGTGTACTTCATTTATATTTTCTTTTCTTTGCAGCTTCTATGACAAACGCGATGCTGAGGATGCACTTGAGGCCATGGACGGCCGCATGCTAGACGGGAGGGAGTTACGTGTTCAAATGGCCCGCTATGGTCGTCCTTCTTCGCCAACTCGTCGTAATAGTACCAGTAATCGTCGTGGTGGTGGAACTGGGGGTGGTGGCGGAGGTGGACGTCGTCGGTCTCGTTCACCCATGCGTCGTCGATCGCGTAGTCCGCGTCGTCGTTCGTACTCACCACGCTCTCGCTCCCGATCCGCTGACAGTCGTTCGCCAGGTCGCCGCAACAAGTTCTCCCCCGTCCGTGGTGACAGCCGAAATGGCATTGGAGCCATTGGGGCCTCACGCAGCCGAAGTCGCTCTTAATTGCTATTCGAATACTTTCCATAATATCTGGTAAGATAGGCGTTGGGTGATATTTGCGCATCCTTCATTGAAATGTGTATTTTATCCCGTTTAGCCACCCGGACTACTATGGTGGTGGATGTTCCAGGCAACAAAACACCCATCGACTCAGCCAACACTCATGCTGTACCAGAACAGCAGGTATAAATGCATTAGACATAAACAAAACGTATATCATACACGCAAATATATATTATAGTACACTTAATCCTAAGTTATCCACAGCGCCAAGTCAAAATGAAAATTGTTTAGAATTGTATGATGATACGATATGTGTTTCGAGTACATTTTCTACTCTTATCACTATTGGCATTGTTAAACTGCTTAACACAAGTGAGTTGGAGAATACGATTTGACACAGTAATAGGAATTTCATGTTATGACTTGAGTTTCTTGTATTTTTAGCCCACAAGATTTGTGAAAGGATAGGCACACACATACTTTAAAATAAAACTCGAAATACATGTACAAACAAACGTAACTGCCATTAGTTAGACATCCATAGATGTATTTAGGCGCTACCTACTTCTGTATTCTCTTAACGTTTTTTTTTTTTCCCCTCGGTAATTTTTGTGTTTGTTGTTTGCGCTTTTTATTGTTTTCAACAAACCTTATTAACAAGCTTTCCAACATTTTACATATTTATATATATGCAGGCAATGGTGTGGCGGTTGTTGCAGTCATGTTCAGGCTTAAAAATGTAAATATTATGTTGGCGAGTCGTAGGCGAGGGAAAGCGAGCGACGCGCGAGCAGCTGGTTAAATAAATTGGGCATCGAAACAGCGGCAATTGAACCGATCAAAGCAGATTGGAGACACCAGAGCGAGCCTTGCCTGCCGTCCCGGTCGTCGTCGCTGCTGTTGCTACTGCAGTTGTTGCTGTAATGCTGCATCTTTACGAGCTGCGCTCGACCTTCTTCAAATTGTTGATGATGCTGCTGTTGCCGCCGCCGCCGCTGAGGTTGCTGCACGACGCCTCGTTAGTTCGCCGCGATTTTTTTACCTGTACTGCATATATTGCAGTCTGCCAACTTTCTGGTGTTTTTGCCGTTAACTACTTTTTCGTACTTATTCCTGCCTGCATGAGCGTTAATTTCTGTTGGTGTTTTGCTGAGTTGCTGTTTTGGGCGTACTTTTGAATTTAGCGAACTTTGCAGTTAAAAAAGCGTACGAATTGACGATATCGAATTACTTGCTGGATGGATGTCTTTAAGGACGTTGTGCCCAGAGCTCTGGTAAGCATTCGAAGTACAAATTGCTAATAACATTTCAGCTCCATTGCAGCCAAGACAGGTCCACATCGTTAACACGAAGCCCCAAATGTAAGTCAGCCGTAAAATGGATTAGAAATTTAAATTCCTTTTGCAGATTTTGGTGCTTCAATATACATAGCTTATAATGCCAATCCTTACATTAAATAAAGTGATGATAAAAACCGCGCAAGATGTTTGTCTTTTCATTCGCTTTACCTAAGGGTTAAAAATGGAAAGCTCTGCAATTTTTTTTATTTGCAACGCTATTGATGATTTTCCATAGCTTCCGTATTCGTGGAATATTCAACTTTAGTCAAATTCCGGTTAGTAATTGTGTGTTCGTATGCAAAGTTTCGCCAAAGTGGGTCAATTTGAAAGGAAGTTATAGTAATAAATGTAATCTCTGCCAACTGCAGCTGCTTTGGCTCAAATCTGTCATAATTTAATTTAGTTTTTGGCACGTCATTATTAATCTAGGTTGGATACAGGGTGTTTAAAAGCTGGGTCCGTTTGACTATCATTACATTCTTGGTTTTCTATGTCCTTCGCTGTAGAGCAAATCCATACTATTATGTATGTATATCATCAGCATGACAAGAGTTGTTGCAGCAATGATAGTTCCAATGGTACTAGGCTGAAAAGCGGCTTTTTCTTTCTCACCTACACTGTCAACAAAAATAAGGCCCCAAGAACTTCTTAGGAAACAGTATAAAATTTTTGTATTCTTTCCGAATGCAAATCAAGTTTAGCGTCGGTTGAAAAAAAAAGTAGGTGTATCTGGGCGAAATGAAACCTTATGGTTGCATTGAATGACTCAATTTGAGGTAACTATTTATAGATTGGTGAGGGGAGCCTTTATAATTATGCATCAACGATGGTTGGCTAATCTACATTTGACTGGAAAAGAATGGCTAGAAAATGGTTATCGAGCTAGAAAACTCGCTCGATGGAAAAGCCACTAAAAATATATAGAACAAGATAGAACGCTACAGTCGAGCAAGCCCGACAGTAAAATAGCCTGTACTCTCCACAAAAAGGAAAAATTAAAAAAAAAAAAATTTAAATAAATTAAATTATTAAAAAAAATGAATGAATTAATTAATTAAAATAATTAATTTAATTAAATTAGAATACATGTTTATGTTCAGTTTAAACAGCATACATTTACATCACGTACCTATGCGTGTTCATATGCGTGTATGTATGCAGCACAAAGTTGAACAAAAGCAGCAACAACAACAGCTGCGGGCAGCGCTGCCGACAGAGCTGCAGGCAGCGCAGTACTAACTGGATGTACCTACCAAAATTAATTTTTAAAATCCGAGAATTACGGAAGTTATAAGAAAAAATACGAATTGCGGGGGAGTGGGGGGTGTATCAGAAAAAATAAACAAACTCGTTCTGCCTAGGGCTTATAGGAACCTTGATACCAATTTTGGTTATCCTAGCTCTTGTACTTACTGAGATCCTTGCGCTCATACAGACAGACGGACATGGCTATATCGACTCGTCTTCTCATCCTGATCAAGAATATATATACTTTGCGGGGTCTGCCACGCCTCCTTCTGTGTGTTACATACATGCGCACAAAACTAGTATAGCCTTTCACCCTTTGGGTACAGGCTATAAAAATCGCTAGAAAATGGCTATAAAATGGCTTTCAAGAGCCTCAGACAACGCAGTTATATTTCGCATTAAAAATATTCCTCTTAAAAATCACGACTTACCAGATGGGCAGAAATAAACAGAAGGCAAATCAACTGCTAACGAGTGCGGGTTTATTTTATCCTTGCGTACATGCAGCTATATTTCAAATGTAAACAAGAGGAGAACACCAAGTTCGCTTGCTTTTCATATTGTATTGTTAGTATGATGCATTTTCATTTTAATTCTTTACCAGTTTTTTTTTTTACTGTTCATTTACGCGCGTCTGTTAACGCGTCACTGGTTTCGTCACAGAAAAGGTTACTGTTCCAGATACTTTGAAGCCCAATTTCCCCCTTTGGAATCAATCGAATTTTCTGCTCACCTACACTGTGAAAAGAAATTTGTGCTCGAATTTCAGCATCCTAGCTCTTACTGTTTGGGCTGCGAGTTAATCGCCAATTAGTCAGGACAAATGGTTCTATATGGTTCTAAATGGTTCTGGCAGGCTCAGAAAACATATACTTTTTATTTGATAGACGATCCCACTTTATTGTCAGCAAGTATGATAGAAATTTAAAATAAGTGCTAGGTTCTTCTAATTATTTTATTTTGAATTTAATTTAATTTTTGAACATTTTTTAAATTTGATTTAATTGGAATGAATTGATTTAAAAATAAGCGCTAGGGACATACATATGCATATACTATGTAAATACATATAACAAAGCAAAGCAACCAAACATTTCATTGACAAAACGTAACCAGGACAACGTAAAACTTTCAAACTCCACTCACTTTTACAGAAAATTGGTTAAACCGAACACTGAAAAATAAGAAAGTCGGAAAAAGCTAAAATTGAACTTGAGGCTTACAGCGTGTCTTTTGCATTCCCTTACTGGCTTTATTTTTGGGTATTCCCCAAGTCTTTGGCACAATGATCCAATACACATACGTAGCGGTTCGCAATGAATCCTTCGAACCGGACCTCCGCAATGAGGGCACCTACCTTTGTAAAATGCCGGCCCCGCCGCCACCACCGCCGGGTGCCAAAAACTGGTATAGTCATTTGAAGCCACACGAGCGCCTCTATTACCACCAGACCATGAACTCGGTCCGATGCAGCAAACGCTATCGCGGCAATCCGAATGTACCGCGGGATTCGTTGGACTTGCAGCTGCAGTCGCGGTATGATCATAGCCGCGAGGCATTTCCGGAAAAGGTGGATTCGGTGCTGCAGCGGGAAACGTGCAAGGCCGTCACCAGCTGGTCAGCACCGGCTGCTGAAAAAGAAATTGGGGCAAAAATCAAGGTCTTCCGTGTCCTACGCAACACTCGCACGGTTCGTAGGAAACAGGAGGATGCACTGGGCCATCCGTTGCGTATTGGTGAGTGTGAATCGAAGTTAGTTGAGGAAAAGCACATTTCTACTATATACATATATATTTGCTCCCCAGGTGGTTGCAAGGAAAAGGTTCACCCCCATAGCGTAAAGCTTATTTGTAGTGGTGTACATAATCAATTGGTCAACAATGGCTTCTCCCGCCAGACTTCGGACGGCAACTTCTTCCGCTACTAGACCAAACCAGTGTTTTTTGTTTTTTTTTTTTTGGCTAACTGCACGTACAATAATTCACAGAGGAACACGATACAACATATAATTATTGGGAAAATTGAATAAAATTTACAGAGCAACGTCATAAGTGCAAGTCACGCAGGAGACATCAGTTTCGGCTGTTTGGCCGCACCAGTTGGTTCTTCCAGCTGCAGTTCCACCTCTGAAGCCTCCGGCGCTGCTTTATGGCGTTGTTTTTTGTTTTGGTTACGATAACTCTTGGGCATTTTGTTATCACCGATCCTGTCGAGAAATGGACATTAGCAAGAGCACTGCAGGGTGTACGCGCAAGTTACTTACATAATGGTAGCGCGGGTGCCAGGTCCCCAGTGCGGTGTAGGATTCTCCTGGAAGCGTGAGAGTGCCTGCTTGCGACTGCTCGGATTTGCGGCCTCATGCAGCTTGTCAAATTCGTAATCAGCACTGCACGGTTTTGCGAGTATGGCTTGCAGGGGAGTGCCCTCGATCATGCGTTCTGCTCGTACCGGATGCCGCTTGTTCCAGCATCGCAGGATGTCCCAGAGCACCGCTGGCGGTGCATCCGTTTTAAGCGAGTTTTTGCTGGCATGCGAGTAGGAGACGCGGTAGCCCGCATGCAGTAGGGCCGAACGAAGCTTCAGCATAGGCACTATTTCTAGCTTAAGCACGCAACAGAGCTTATCGGGTGTATAGTAGAGGGGCACATCCTGCAGCTCTTCCAGCACCATGGACAGCATGCCCACAATTCGTCGTTGAGTGGTACATGCAGACAAGGGCTCACAACGCACAGCATTGAGCAAATCCGTGACGAAGTCCGTATTGTGTATAGGCGCCGACCAGATCGGACCGCCCATATGGTGCTTGTGACCGCAATGCTGGCAACTGCTGCCCACTGCCGGTCCAGTGGGTATGCTAAACTTCACCTTTTGCGGATTCTCTGGGGACGGACTGTGCCTTATGATGCCCAATGGCTGCAGCGTGTGGGTTTCACAGCCCGTGCACTGGTAGACCATTGATTGCTTGCTCATGCTGTATTTACACTGTGCCTGTCCGACATGCACACGTAGAAAGATTCTCACGTAGAAGTCGGCAGATATGCTCAGCAGGGGCTCAACGTATTTCCCGTAGCGATTGGCGTGCGTTTCGATACAGTGCAGAAGTATACGCAGTGCCATCTCATGGCAACATTTCATGCGCAGTGGCACAGATCCGTATTTTGCAAAACACGCCTCTGGCATATTGCCTGCCAAGACGGCCATATCCGTTGCGGTGACGAGCAACAGACCACCATTGACTAGGCATTGTATTGCACCATCTAGAAAACGATTTGGACAGCCATAAGGATCCAAATCCACAGCATCGAAGCGTTTCGCCGCCGGCGTTGATAAGTACATGACGGTCCTGCGTTAAAAGAAAGAACTGGTTATATCCTTCACACGCTATACGTATTTTATTCTCTGCACATTCGAAGCTCCGATCATTTCCAACTGATTTCAAACTGTTACTTCTTATGCGAGAAGCCCATCCCTAAAATTCAAAAACGCGAGTTTCCTAATAGGAAATGTTTGTCCGTCTTTCCGCTTACATACATGTATGTACATACATACATATATGTGCATTAGCAGCTTAAACCCCAAATATATATACATTTGTTCTATCTATACGCAGGCTTCTATAGCAAACCGTCTACTACTACTACTATATTGGCCAAGCCCCCGGGGAAAATTTTACCTGCGTTTTCAATTTTGAAACAACATTGTTAAGAACATTTTTTAATGTTAAATAAAGATTTTTAGACTCGTTTTGAATAAGTCTGAACAACCTTCAGACAATACTCTATCGCTAATTTAATTTTAATTCATATGTGTATAGTATATTTAATTAGTTTAGAATTTAAGTTAAAATAAATATACATACATATGTATGTCTAAAAAGTCAAATTAACTTACATACATATGTATAAATAAACTTTTTCTGGCAACGAAAAAATCCCCTAGACAATCTATTTGGCAAAAAAGGAAGAAATTCTGTTCTGACGTTGCTTTTTAGCGTAAGGGCTTTAGCTTGAATGGGTAATTCAATTTTCTTATTCAAGTTTCCTTATATTTTCCCAAATACTTTTTATAGAGAAATGCAGCCTTCAAGCCTATTTCGTTTAACGACAAAAGTAATTTAAAATAGAAGGAACTAGACCTAAAAAGCTAGTTCAGTATTTAAATTTTAAAACCCCGGTTTTTGGAACTAGTTCGGAAGAACCGACCTAACATTAGGCATCACCTTGACTTACATTGCATCCGCATGGCTCGTCTCAACCAGGTGCTCCACACCGTTATGTTGCACGTTGGCCTTAATCGATTCCACCGCTTGCTTCGACAAATCATTGGCCACAATGGTGTGTACGCCGGCTATTTCTTTGGCATAGCGAATACTGCGCAAACCTGTGGCCGACAGCGCTTCCAAAATGCGCAAGCCATCCTCGTACTGGGTACCGGCTACGTATGTCGCCTGCGACTCTACAGGTGGCGGTGTTTCGGTGGGTTGTTGTTGTGTGTGTTGCTTTTTCAACGCACGCTCGTGCCGCTCCTTTACCAATCGTTGAAAATATACGTTTATAACGGCAATGCTAAGATCACGGTTAAACTCCTGCACGGGATTGTAAAACACGTTCCCGCCGGACACAATCTCGGCACTCCTTTCACGTATAATGTTCTCCGAAAATCCGAGGAATGGAGCCTCCTGTTTTTCATGGTCCACTTCCATTTTGCATGCTCGCAGCACGATGTGGTTCAGTTATGGAATCGATAGTCGATACCGCTAGATATGGCATGACAAATATTTGTGAGAGAGTCACGATATCGATGTTGTAGTCCATACCTAGCTGTCGTAATAACCTGCCGTTTTTTAACTTTTTCAATTAAAATGAACAAAATATCGTGTGCATTTATTCGAATTTTACAGCACAGCAACTCTTATGGCGGTGCGACAGTGCTAGGTCGCCAATTATCTTATAAAAGCGACTTGTCGTTGGACAAAATATATCCAAACGTTCGACTGCAGCTCTACACGCCGCCACCGGTGATTATCCCAACTACAGTTATAGAATAACACAATAATAACTATTTAATTTTAGCCTCCCAGCGACGGGGACAAGTTTAATGGTTACGTTCCTATGGATAAACTTGAGATAACCTACAGTCGCAGCTCAGGGCCAGGTGGTCAGCATGTCAACACGGTGAACACAAAAGTGGATGTGCGCTTCAAGCTGGCCGAGGCAAAGTGGATACCCGATAAGACGCGTGCGAAGCTACTGAAGGCAGTAAGTGATCTAATTATGCACATTCATGTAGTATATAAAAATGAAAAATGTGAGTTTTTCATCTATACTCCCAAAAACAGTTGCAGAACAAAATCACAAAGGAGGGATACTTTTGCATCAAAAGTGACCTGACACGCTCACAGCAGCTCAACTTGGCTGATGCGTTGGAAAAGCTGCGTGCAATCATTCGGGCCCAAGAAGTAGAGGCTGCGTCACCTAGCGAAGAGACACTGGAGAAGATTAGGCGAAGGCAGGAGAAAGCCGCCCGCCAGCGGCTGCAGCTGAAACGTGGCCGTGCACAAGTAAAAGCTGATCGTCAAGGACCCAGTGCCGTTGATTTTTAGTTTGTGATAGAGACAAATCAGTTAATACATAAATAATAATGTTGATTATACAGTGGTACTTTGTAAAGCGTTCATCAATTCAGGACATCAGTGGCAGGAGTGACTGTAAATCTTTTTGTCGTTTGTTGTTCGTTCAGCACATCGACGACGGCGGTGGCCTGGGGAACTTGAAGTTTATTGATCTCACACGGCATTGTGGCGAAACGTGGACGAGGGAGCATACAAGACGTCGCATCTGGAGCCCTCTGTGTGGTGCGGCGAGATAGACCTTTACCTTGCCTGTAACTTTCATATGTAAAACTATAAATGCTGACGAGTTGGTAGTTTCACTTACCAGCGTTCGCTTGTGTTGGTAATGGTTGTATAAAGCTTTTCCAGGCGATGTATGGTGGACAAACTGTTGCGTGCTTCACGTTCTTGAAAACTGTTTCTTTTGATGATTGGGGACCATGTGTGCTGGTACGAATCCTTATCCAATTCCTGCAGGAATTCGCAATCAATACCTAAAGCTCGTTGATCCTCCTTATCCAGGTTTGTGAACTCGTCCATTATAGCCGCATCGGTAGATACAATGTCATGTTGTGCTCTGCAGCGCGCCAGCTTAATATCGTGCTTCCAGAAGTCGCTATTGTTGCGCGCTATAACTGGCGCGATCTCCTTCACCTTTAGCACCAAAATCCCCATCACATAGATGCAAAGAATATTAGAGAGGGTCAGGCACATGCTGATGCTCCCATGTATGGCTAATTCCGCCGCTTGATTGTTAGAATATTTATGCGACTTCACAACGTACAAATAGCGGGAATCATCGTTCTCAAATAACTTGTATATGCAAGCCAGGGCCCAAAGCAAACCAGAGTTAACAGCCGGTGGTAGCAACGATGCAGAAATGGCCACACCCACCAGCGATCCGATGTTGCCGCCTAATATGCCAATGGCTGCTGCCGCGCCCGAAGGTATTGCCGTAAATACGCCTACAATGAGCGAGTGAAGATCACAGCGCGATAGCATCTCCGCAGTCAAACCCTCGCCAATTCCATACTTCTTGTCTGTTGTACACACAACCAGACCGAAGAGGAAGCCCACCACCGTGGCAAGTAAAATACCTATTAGTTCGTTCTGCATTCCCAGTCGTCGTAAAGTGCGTTCCTCGATGACAGTGCCAAAGATCGCCGCTATGATGGGACCCATAAGCGGGGATATCAGCATGCTCGAGGCAAGGAATATAGTGCTGTTCTCAACAAGCCCGAATGAGGCCAGCACACTGTGAAATAGTGGATGGATCGACAAAAGGGATAAAGCATTCGCTGACCACAATACTCACGCTGCCGACACTAGCAATATACAAAAATCAAATGTTATCGCCGCATCCTGACGCACGTCTCGAACTATTTGAGCCACATTAAGACGCGACCGGACGGAGTTCATGAAGCGATTCCAAGCACCATGCTTTTTTGCATTTGCACTGCTATGAAAAAATCAGATGAATTATTCGAGCTTTGCGAAATTTGTTGTTTCTGTACCTATATTGATTGCTAGATAGATCTGCGTATTCGTCCTCTTCGTAACGGACATACGACTTGGTGGCTATGCAATTCATAACCGACACTGTCGAGCCTTCCCGATCTCCTATACCCCATTCCTGTAGCGCTTCGTGCAGTTTCTCGTACACCTCATTAAACTCAATTGTAAATGTGATCTGATACATGCTGCCCTCCACATTACTAAGCCACACAGCAGCGATTTTAAATTTGCGTAAGATCTCGCGCAGCACCTGTTCGATGGGAGTGTCCACGGGGAGATCGAGAGCAGGGCAAGATGGTGCGTCTGCCGATTGTACCTGCACAGTCGGCAATAAATTGCAACGTTGTGGAAATGCTTCAGATTGTGGCGTGGCTACCGTCTCGCTCATTGTCAGACTTATAGTTTGCCTACTTTGTGCATCCGTCTCGGGCTCACTTGTATTTGTATCGGCCATTGCCGTTGGCTCTGCCATTTGCTTGTCCACATAGACATTCCTCATGCGTTGCTCCTCAACAGCAGTCGGCACTGTGATTGTAAAGAGCACAGCTGCAGCGCCAGTCATTATGGAATAGTAGCTTAATGGATTTTAACGTTAAACAAAATAAAGCACATGCACGGAAGCAAAAAAAACAAAAACAATCTATTTTTACACAATCACACGCCCGACAGTGATGATTGCAAACTGCACTGCAAAATTCAATGCAATGTGTTCTTGCTTCTTTCAATTCACTGATAACGGTTCTTCGCATAGAGATCTGGCGCTAAGCCAAACTTAGTACATTGTGGGCGATAACACTTATCGATTTAGCTTTGCATCCCTATGATGTCCTGATGCATCGAAGTTTCACTCACGTGAAGATTTGCTAATGGTATAGAAAAATTCAGTCATCAGCGCGATTCGTTTCCGATTTGTAGTGGCAATGGCCCGACGGCAGTATTATTTTAGCAATTACACAAATTTTCACAAAAATCACATCAAATTGTTTGCTGTTTATATGAAAACAGCAAATTTAATGCAGAATTGCAATGTGCTGAAGCGCTCGCTTTAAGCTAACGCCGCCGTTCTATGTATGTATGTACGTGTACATGTATGAGCGTGTGTATTAGTGGTGTCTGTGCGGGTGTGTTAGCAATAAAAGGAAAAGTTATTAGTGTAATTTGTAGTATGCCAGAAATTGCATAAGCTGAAATCAAAGCTCATTCAACAAAAAAAGAAGAAACATGAAAATTTTAAAATGCTTGCAGTTTTATTGAAGCGCTTTACAAAATTGTAATCAATTACACATAAAATTAGGCGTGCCCAGTATTCAAATCTTGGTAGAAACTTCAAAAATGGTAAGTTAATGTCTACTTCAATTACAAATGTGTCTGATTGCATGTCAAGTACGAAGCGTGTAGGCGTATATGATTTTATACATACATAGATTTTTGTACATATGTACATATATACTATATGTAGTGTGTGTATACGGCTTATATAATATTATGTATTTCTGCCATTTCTGTCGTTAACTCTGTTAGACTCTGTATATCAAGCTTTTTGTGGACTTTGGCCTGCTGTCTTAATGTGTGATGCAATCGGATTTACAAATGCAATTACATGTGTGCATTCATTTATGTATGTATGTACATTAACATGTACATATACGGCAGGCCAATAGAGAGCGGCCTGAAGGGTATGAAGAAACAGGCTTTAAGTTCGGCGGTTGCGGTAGGCAAAAAGCTGGTGTGCCAGGTACATACGTTCTCCCGCTCGCCCACGCCGCCTATTGTAAACAGATGTTTTTCGCCAAGTGGCAGGCAGTGCGCATGTCCGGCTAAACCAAAACAAGTTGACAAGACGCGTTCTATGTCATGGTGCAACACAATGCCCCATCTGCCCACCACTCTCCGCCACTGCAGATGACATCTTATGGCCATAAAAGTTACAATGGCAAGAAAGCTGAATGCAGCGCTCGATAGTATGCTATACTTCCCAAAAGTATATGTGCATATGCTTGTATTGGTATGCGGCATTATACAAGTATAAAAGAAGGCGGAAGAAGTCTAGCTGCCGCCATGTTTGTTGTTTTTTGTTTCCGTCGCTGGTTACATGATTTAGTTTTGTTATGAGGAAAATGCCTTGACAGCTAAACACAGTCACACACAGATTCAGAATGATATTGCTTCTGCGTCACGCCCCTTACAGAGTATTTATTATCTTATATACGCCACTGGCTTCCCATACAGCGTGCTTTTTCCTCCCCATACATGGCCATTGCGAAAGTGTAATAAATTTGTATTGTTCTTTTTTGTTTGTTTTGGTGGGGTGGGGGTTTGTCGCCTTTGAAGTGGCAACTGCTGAGCCGCAATGGCTTGCTGCTCATTTGTTTGCCTGTGTTTGGTTCTTTTCATGCTGGTTTCCTATTTTCGGGTGTTGTATTGCGTCTCGCAGAACAAATGCCGTAGTTGTCTCCACCACAACCACCATCGATTGTCCTTGAGCAGCACTTGCCATTTACATAACATGCGGCGCAGACGGTTTATTTTTGTTTGTGGTGCTTTGAATGTGGCCCCAACAAATATTCGTTTTGTGTAATGTTTAAAATATGTGCACTACTAATATAAGTCTAATGAGCTTCGTCATATTCTACAATCGTTTGAGAGCACACTTTTAAAAGTTATATTTCCCACATTACTTAATAAACAATTTTCACAATTGTTATGAGCCCAAAGGATAAAAAGGCATACATGTTTAATGCGAAAACACCCAGAAAAAGGAATATGAAGTTTTCATCAGTATAACGAGGCTAACCGATATAGCAATATCTGACTGTTCGTCTGTAAGAGCGCAAGGATAACGGGCATGAAATATCCGCTAGAAAAACCCAAAGTTGGTATACATACATAAATTTTCTAAGGCCATGTTTGTGTTTTCCCGGTTCACTTTCAAATCCCATGCTTTTAGCAATTTTTCAATAATTTTATATTTTTGGGAAGTTTGTCTCCAACTAATCCAGTTGCATCCTTTTTTTTATTAATGTTTCTTTATGCTTCGTTTCTCAAGTATAGCTAAACTCTAAAGTCACAGCTACAAATTTAGGTTCATTTACTCCCAAAGAGTTCTAATGGGAATAAGAACGTAATTCTAATATACAAGTATCACAGTCAATTAAAACCATCTATGTAAGTATTACTATTATGCAGCTATTATGTTGCCTTAAGCTCTAATATCAATATAAAACAGGACCGAGAATTGCAATCAAAGCTGTCGTTTTTGCATGTGTAAGTTGTCCTTAGATTTCAATTACGAATATGTGCACTTTGTGCAAATCCAACAGCTTGCCAATTGATTGTTCAAGTACAAGGATACTACACTATGTAAGAGACTACACATACATATTTGTGTGTGTGCATTTGTGTTTGTGGAAATGTGCTGCCCACGCCAACTTTAGGCAAGGATATGCTAGCGATCGATATGGAAATGCCACGAACTCGCTATTGAAATTTTGTTGAATGCTATGTAGAGTGTAGAGGCAGACATGAGAATGCAGGGTATGTGTTTTGTAATTATAAAACTACATACGAATACGTGTAGTTATCCTCGCTGCTGTTTGGTATATACATACTAGACCAGTATATTGCACGCCACATCAAGACCAAATCCAATTTACAAGTAAGGTGCAGTTTAATGTGCGGATTGACCGATGACGCGATTTTTGTGGGCACTGGCCGGCAAATTCAATTAAAAAAGAATATTTTTACAATTCCCAGTGCGAGTTGAATGTGAAGGAATGGGGATCTTTTGCTTTAACATCTACTCATTAAAAATGTAGTTGGCTGCAATGAAATTGTTACGTTTTCTGTCCGCAACAGAGGTGCTGTTAACAGAGCCGCAAACACTGTTAAGTTGCTGTTAGCCAGCCACTGGAAGAGCACCGGCCTGGCTACGATTTTGTCAGTCTCAGTTCTCTACTGAATAGCGCTCGCAGCAGTTTGTTTTCCATCGCTCCATCCGCTCGTTTTGTTTACTTGCGTGCATAATATTTACAACAAGACCTTATGTATGTACATACATATGGACATATGTATGTATATTGAAGCAAGCTGTGTTTTTACAGTTCTCCCTTTACGTACAGATTGTGTAAAAAGTTTATTGTGCGCTGCGGTCTCTCTTTAGAAAGTTGAGAAATCACATTTCGCAAAGCGTGTAAGAAACAAGTAATTTTGATAATTGAAACAATGTATACGTGTCCGCGTTTGTGAACTGAACAAAATATGTTATGAAATGTTGTTATTTATAAAACCATAAAGTATTGGCAGACAACAACTGCGAAACAAGACGGGGTCGCAGACGTCCAAATATTTCAAGAGAGCGCACATCGAGGAGAGCAACAACTAAGAACAGCTGCCATTGCCACTGCCGGTTGCCTCTCACTTTGTGGTTGTTGTCACTGTTGTTGTTGAATGGAAAAGCAGCGAAAATCGAAGGTAACAGCTCAAGTAAAATACCTGAGATACGCATAGCAAAGAACAGCATTTTTGAACATACTTACGAGTTATGTACGTGTGCATGGTATGTATGTATGTACATACTTATGTATAGTATTTATATAAATATTGTTGCTTCTGAATGTAGTTTCAGAGCAACTGATTAATGCATGCTGTGCATTGGTGCTCTAAGTGGTCCAGCATCTATTTTTAGTTACTATTCACTATTCAAAAAATCATTTTGTTAGTTGTAAAACGATATGAATCACTCTCAAGTGCTGTTGCTGGCTCACATTTCAAAGCCATTTGACACTGTGTGGTACATTATTTTAACTGAGAAATGACTCAGTAAGCAGCTTTTTCGCTTTTTTAACAATGTCTGTCGGATTCCCACAGCATAAATATTTATTTATTTATGTACACGCGCGCATGCTTATATAAAAAGTTTATCTATTTGTGAACATTTACTTACTATATACACATACATATGTATGTACATATATCGAAATTAACTCGTCAATCAAATTGATTTCATATCAATTTGTGCTCCAAACTTAGTCATGTCTTCCGCTTGCATTTTGTTGGTATACTCGTATGTATAGTACATCAATTCCTGATATTCAGTTCCAGTTGATTTTCAAGGGTACCCATATTTTGTTTACTATCTTTGTGTAATGACAAATACGCGTTAAGACTTTGAATGTTATCTATAACATTTTTTCCTGCAACATTTAAAAGAATTTCTACCTGTAAGCCATGCAGGTATTACAAAAAAATGGACGGTGTTAATGGGTTTTAAAGCTCATGGTAGTATGTCCAGTTGCGCTGACCAATAAAAAAGGCATTCTTACCAACTTAAAGACATGGGTTTCAAAGCTCGGCCATCTTATCTTGATGTATAGCTTTCTTTGTTCGTATGCATAAGTACAGTTATTGTGCTCTGCAAGGATTTGAATTGAATGTATCTTTTTTTTACTTTATATACCCCAATACCAACAGAAAAAAGGGTCACTAGTTTTATGAATGTTTGTAACACACAAAGCAAAGCATGGTATACAATAAAAACTATAATTATTCTTGATCAGTATGATGTGATGAGCTGATATTTAGATCATCTGTACGCACGTAGGAATTTTGGAAGTTTTAAGAATTAGAATCAGGAAAATTGGTATTCATGTATATTCTTAAATTTATGCCTAAGCCAGGTATCTCTATGGCATAGTAAAATACCTGATCGGTACATAAAACAATGAGAATTTATGTGTGACTAGCTCTATAATAAAGTTGCTGGAGAAATTTAAAGTTATATTAAGATAAAATTATGTACGCTCTTTAAAAACCCATTGCAATAAAACAGACATTTTTGGCACAACATATTTGCGAATAATGTAGTTCTGGGTACATTTCCATTAAAAATGATTTTCTTAAATAACGTAAAAAATAGATACATATTATATAAATTAAATCGAAATTTGTATTAACATTTAAAATAGTCGGTTACCTAAGCGAACAAAACAAGCTCATAATCTTCTTCTGGGAGAAATATGAATATTAAAGATGGTGTAGTAATCAGGCATCAGCGCATATGGTCTGTTCCTGCCTCCATCTTCGAGGTGTCTGCATATATGTTAGTGGCGTGTTGGTTTTAGTCCTGCCAATCGAACTGTGTCCGAAGCTTCCTGTTCAAAATAAATAGCAATAAATAAATAACTTCCGGTGGACATCATATTCTTCCAATGGCCTTGCCGTATAGAACTGTTATGAATTAAAATGCTCTTTTTATACCCTTGCAAAAGGTATATTGGTCATGGCTGATCACCCTCGCTAATAATGAAACAACATATAGTATACTCCAGTTTGACAAATCGGACTACTATATCATATGTACAACGATCTTAAAAAGTCATGGTATTAAACTCGTGATAGCTTGCTAATGAACCATAACCATATAAATTATAAGTATATTATGTAATTTATGAGTGGATTAGCTAGCTTCTGCATTGATTGTTATTAAAACAATCATACAAAGCCTATACTGTCTAATCATCCCCAAACCGTGCCATTACCAGACTATTTTGATAGTTCATGGTCAGGCAATGGAGCTCAAAGCATTTGTAGCGGGCTGTTGTTGCCTTATTTCAAATGGGCATTACAATTGTGCAAATTGCGTTTCGACGGCATGCCTTTAACCAACTTCCGACCCGAAAAGGAGCAACATATCGGCAATGAGCAATGGTGTGCCTATTAATGGTTTTCCTATACTTATATTCGATGCATACGAGTATTGCAGAAGTATCTACATGTAACTAACTATACATACTATGCATATAGTATATGCAAAGATATTTATCTTTGGCCGGCCTGCGTGTCCGCGTTGAGGTTACAATTTTCATTGAATTGATTTATTAATATAAATGACTTTGCACTGCTGGTGGAAGCTCGTGGCCTTATCGATTGAGGGTGCAACAAGGCGATGTTTACCTAGATTTGGGAAATGAGTTGTACTTGAAGTAGTGGAAATTGAAATGGCGGGCAGTACTATTTGTAAGTAAACAAGTTACATTTATTGCTAACCTCTAATTGCATAATCGATTGAGCTAAAATGTTGATTTCCTAAACATTTCCATAACCCTTCCCTGCCTACCTTTTCGTCCGAGTGCGTGGCCTTCGTTTGGGTTCATTTCATGACGCTTGAATGAGCCAAATTATAATGTCTGTCCATTTGTGAATATTTTAGCTCAATTTTTCCTTATTAATTTTAAAATTTCAGACTGTATGTGCGCCAAATCAAACGCTTGGCAAGCGTTTTCTTGGTTGGCGTCCAAAAATTATCTATTGCGTCGTGTTGATTATTCTCGTGGCTAAATGTTCTCCACATTTACGAGACTAAAACAAACGCTGCTCATGGGGCGCTTCTCAAGTCTATAAATTTCATTCGATTTGGCAAACTTGAACTTTGGCCAAGAGTTATAAACAAATGTGTATCAAGCCATCTGTAATCACATCTCTGCAGTCGATCAGTTGGTTCATCAAATATCAACCACCGTTTAACTTAAATTTAGTCTAGTTGACTATTCTCACTAAATGCAATAACTTTTCTTCATTATTGAAATCAAAATTAAATTGCCTAATGCCACATAAAGTTAATTGCTAGCCAATTAAATTCCACTTACAAATCTTGTTAACGGTTTCAACTGGCAGTCAATGCCAATTAGTGGCCAAGTGCTTTTAATCAAAGTCACTGAACTCGAGTTATGTGCTTGTTAATAAATTTGATTGGCTATCAGAAAAATTTGTGCCTGTGCCTGTTCTTTGTATTTTTTATTAGCTGATTGGGTTGGCGAAATTGTGTTAGTAGACAAATTCATTTCGCAGTTTAGAAGATTCAGTTATCTTAAAATATAAGGCAGTATCAAAGCTACTGGGGAGTACTAAATCATATGGGTCTTATAAAATATACTGCTGCGCTTGACGCCACCAACGCCTCGTGACAAGCCAGACTGACGACCCTCAAGAGATAAAGATCGACGCGGTGGCTTATCACTCTCAAGTGTACAAGTATTATGCAATAAAAGCTACTACATGAGATTCTGAACGAATTATTCGGCCTATTACGTTCGCACAAATAGAAGACAATTGCAATTATAATGTTTTACATCCAATAAATTTTGAGCCATTGGCTTGGAATTCAGATCAACTCAAAACGATCAATTGAAAGATCGTTTCGACTGCGGTTTCAATTCATCTCCCAAACTGCGACATTACTGCAGAATGTTCCTTGCCATTGCACTTGAGTTTGTTTGTTTGCGCTAATTATTTCATTGCTTTGTAAGAATCAGCTTTTCATCTTATCTGCCCAAGAGCCAACAAGTCCGTACATGTGCTCTTTTGTTAAAAATGAATAAATGTTGGTGGAGCGAGCTACTGTTTTAATCATTTTGTACGACAAGCTAATGTTTTTATTTCTAACTCGAGCTGGGTGTGAGCTTATTAATTACGCGTGGCGCTAAGTAATCTGGATTTTTCCAGTTCGAAAAACATGTAGGCCAATAGTAGTATGTATAAAGAGGGGTTGTGAATTTTATATTTGTTTGAGAAGCGATAATTGAACAGACAAATAATATCACTGCAGATTAATACAAATTAACAAATTAAATGGAATTTACTAAGGAGGAATTTGTTAGCTTACTGTTTGTTGGACTATGCTTGGTACACAAAAAAGTACAAGTAATGCTCTATTAGTATTAAATAATAGGAATCGCTCGTATATAAATCTGTCTTCAATAATGAAAGGCTATTCGGTCACAAATCATGGAAGGTTTCTCACACATAGCCACCTATGGACATTAATCACGTGGAAAGTTGAGCATTTTAGCACATTCATTGGCACCTCTTCCAGTTAGCTGGCCATTTGCTTCTCTTTGATCAACTGCGATTGTTAAGAATAACTTTAGCAAATATTTGATAGCATTTTTATTAAGCAAATAACGGAGGTTCATTGATGACCGGCAAGAGGGTTTCTTTTTAAATAAAAATTCTTGACTTGAACCAGTTTAGATCGGTTATTACGGCAGGTCGGTCGTGTTTAAAAAGTTCAATAAAAGTAATAGCAAAACTGAATTTCAAAACGAAGCCAATAACAAGTATTAACTCTCTTTGCAGGCACATAGAGACCTGGCACCTAGTTACTCTGAATAAACGCCGGACAGAAATTTGAGGAACGCACACCTGGGATCTAAAGGCGAAGACACAACAATAAACGCACACAAATGCTGAGTCCATAGAACAAGCCGGAACCACAGGACAACGCAGGATTATGCTGGCGTCAGCAGCCGCTTTAATGCAAGCACAAATCAATATTCAAGCCAATACAAACACCATTAACAAACACCACCAGCAGCAGCAGCAGCAGCAACAACAACAATGAATGTGACGGAGAAGGATTACGACAGCGCGACCTCCGCGCTGGAACAGCAAATGAATTTGGCCCGCCGCGCCTGTTGGAGCACCGGCAGAAGGACGCTTTCAAGTGAATTACCCGCGACAAAAATTGAAGTTCAAGTTGAAGTTGAATCTGCGGCTGAGGCAGAAGCAAAAACAGAAAAAATGAATGGTGCTACTTTAAATAATAATAGTGAAACATTTAGCCAAGTCTATGAGCATAGCTTACAAAATTCTAAACAATATGAACTGCATTGGAGGGGCAAGAAATCGGGCCTCGAATCGTTGCTCGGCCAGCTTTGGCTACAAATGGTGGCTCTTGTACATCGTCCAAACCAACCACCGAGTGGACCTAACACAAACGAAAACAAAAACCACATCAACTACAGAAAAATACTGAGTAAAAAGCTGACGCTGCTCTGTGCCATTTGTATGTTTCTAAGCTGCATTGAGGCCCGACCGAATACAAGCGTTTTGAATCCAGTCAGCGCTACAAAGCCCACAGAAGCGATCAGCTACGAAGGTGTTGCGCCGCTAAAGGTAAGTTCCCTTCTACAAGTATATGCGAGTGCTTAGTAGTTGGGAGACATTGCTTCCCACTTTCAATTCATTATGTCGTTAGTTTCTTAACTAACTCCTCCCGAAACTAAGATTACTCTACTAACTTATCGACAAAACAAGCGTGCGACCAATTCACATTCACAAGCGGCGTTTCTGCGACTTTTGCTAACAAAAACGTCATAAACAACGGCGTTTAGGGTGACAGTCGCGATAATATAGGTAATTAGCATATCACCCGAAAATATGGAACCTGTTAGCAATTCACAATTACGCCTTTAACTCAATGCCGCGCTGTTCCACGTTCCGTCTTCACAGCAAAGTAATATGAGAAGACGGCATACTTCATACTCTGATATATGAGTATGAGATTCCGACTACTTCAGCTTAACAAATTGCTAGTAATTTTGTAGAAAAACACATGTCTTTCAGACACACTCGTACACAAAAGGTGTACTTTATTGGAGATCATTATCCTAATGTAAGCATTTCTCATTAGAGTGTGTTTACAGTTTCCATTTACAATTAAGGCGGGTTTGAAACAGTAAATAGACCTTCAATTTACTTTAGCCGAGCAAATAATAGAAACTTGCTTTACAACTGTGTTATTTTCAAATCAATATAATAATATACTTAAATTATTGAACTGAACACAAATGTTCATCTGTTTATACAAATGTACGAGAATGTAAAAAATAGCAGAAATATATTTATAATTCGCTATTAAGCAAACAATACGAAGGCAACATGAGTTAATACGAAATGCCATTAGCAATTAATTATACTTTTTTGTCAATAAAGAGAAGAAAACAAGAATTGAATGATAGAGTCGAACGGGCCCAACTCGTTAATACCCTATACCCCGAAGCAAACATTAGGTTGGTGCAAAGTATGTAACAGGCAGAAGGAATCATCTCCGACCCCACGAAGTGCATATATTCTGAATCAGCATGACGAGAGAAATCGATCTAGACATGTCCGTCCGTCCTCCCGTCTGTCTGTCTGTCTGGATGAACGCCTGGATTTCGGAAACGGCTGAGCGTGTTTTTAAGAAACTTGGTATGCTCCTAGTCCCTTGTCTATACGAGTTTATTTTATTTGTTTGATCCCCCCACAAACTGCGCTCTTCTTCTTCATTTTGCTTCTGCTAGAGGTGCCCATAACTCAGTGTCGAAGCTTTGCCTGGGTACAGGGTATTTCACTGTCGGTCTTGCTCGACTGTAGCGTTCTCTCTTGTTAAAAATATTTTTATAAAATAAATATTTTTAGATTTAATTACGTAAATTAGTCAGCTAGATTATTTAATTGATAACACATATGTATGTATGTTTAAATGGCATACATTTTCATCGGGATTACGTCCAAAATTACGGGAGTTTTGGGAAATCACTAATAGGGTAGAGAAGTAGGGGAGAGAGAGGCATCAGAGATAAAATAAAAACTCAATGTCCCTGGGGCTTATATCAAGTTTGTTTATTATAGCTCTAGTATTCATACAAATGGACGGACGGACAGACCAACATGGCTATATCAACTCAATTTGACATACTAATCAAGAATATATATATTTTGGGGGCCTGCCACGACTCGTTCTGTATGTTACATACATTCACACTAAATTACTAGTATGTATACCCTCTACCTTTGGGTTACGTGTAGTCGAAAGCAGCAGCAACAGGAACATAATTTTGTTTCGTGATATTCTTTATTTAAGATCTGTGTTGGGCTGGACAATTATAAAATTGTTATTAGAACCCTATGCCGGGCCCCGATCGTGAATATACTCTTGCCTTTTACCATTCTCCTATATATAGGGTACCAGTAGAACGCAACCCAAGCTTTCTTACCGTGATCAATATTTGCACCTACAATTACAACTACTTTTAAATCCCATTAGTCGTATTTTCATTCATGAAGCGCCAAGTTTCGGTCTATTGCTCTCAACACATGCGGCTGATACTGTTAATTGAACAATTGTACTTAGTTTGAGTGGCGTGCATGTAACTGCCGCTTCTAATGGAATATCCCAGGGCTAAGGGCATAGACTGCGTGAATCGGAATCGTGACATATATGGACTTGTATCAGCAAACTTTGTCTTTACCATATTTTTATCACACACACACACTCTCTCTCACACTCTACCAAACGCAGCTGCAGTCTAGCACTGCAGTACCCACCGATACCGATACGTTGGAGCCTTTACCAAACGCAGAGTACTTGACGAGCGACGAGGAACGGCTCCACGATGAAGAGGGTCACCATAAAACGGACCGTTACCCCCTCTCGCAGGTGGAATTTGCGCGAGTGAAGACGCCTTTCATCATCGGCATTTGGATATTGTCGGCGAGTATAGCAAAAATCGGTAAGTGTTGAGCGGAAGACTTGTGGGCGAGCTGCCAAAAAAAATCAATAAGATTTATATAATTGTGATGCGTTCACGACGCTGCTGACATTTATGTAGATTTACGTCAAGTTATCAAGGCGTCATGTGTGCGGGTCGGTGTGGGGGATGATTTGGGGCTGCTTCCGTAGTAAACGACTGCCTCTGAAGGACATGACGTCGGTGCAGCCTGCAGGCAGCATGCATTGCATAAGCGTTATTATAACTGATGCTAGCAATGCTTTGGGCCATGCAAGGAGCTCACAATTGTGCGAATTCAGGCTGTACCAAACAATTAGGCTATTCCATCAAATGGGCTTCATAAAGGGGTTTTCGACAGACATACAATAGGCCCCAAAATAGAAATAGTCTGTTCTTTCAAGGATAGTCAACATTGAAAATGTTCCTCTGACGCTTGAATTGAAATGCTTTGTGCTGCACTTTTATAATCTCTTGATTCCAAAGCAGAAAGAGCTGGAAAATACATGAAATACCGCCTATACTACAAGTATATACGTAGTGTAACCTATAAACATTTCTGTGTACTCATATATTTTGTTTTGGCACGAATTGTGTTTTTATTTTTCATTCATGTATGGGTATTTCGCACATTTGCTGCCTCATGCGCTGCTATTGACCCAAATGCAAAAATTTCGCTCGACCGCACAAACACACAGATCGACAGACCGACAGACAGACAGCGGGATAGATGGACCGCCTGACAGACCCATGGTTTGTTCGACGAGACACATTTACATCTAAAAGCGCCATGTTGAATATATAAGCAGAAATATACAAAAGCTTCGTATGTAATTAATGTAAATATGTTGTGCATATTAAGCAGGGAGCGATACGTCCCCTGCTCTGGCTCAACCCCTGAATTTGTACATTTTTAAATAAATTTGTTTGGTTTTTGTTCCTTTTATTCTCTGCGCTTGCAGGTTTTCATATGACGCCAAAACTGCACCTGATTTTCCCGGAGTCATGCCTGCTGATTGTAGTGGGAGTCGTCATTGGTGTGGTGCTCTATTTCTGCACCGATGTGGCTGTTTCGCCACTCACGCCCAACACATTCTTCTTCTACATGCTGCCACCGATTATCCTTGACGCGGGCTACTTTATGCCGAATCGCTTGTTCTTCGACAACCTGGGCACAATTTTGCTTATGGCTGTGGTTGGCACAATCTTCAACATCGCCACCATCGGTAAGTAACGAAAGTGCAGTTCTATATACAGACATAAACATATAGTGTACGGTTATATACATATCACAGACTTAGCCGATCTAACCATGTTTTTATTTGTTTAACTGAGGGTTAGGCTACCTAGTCTGCTTTTTCAAAGGCGTACTTGAATATTCATTACCACGCAAAAATATTACCAAGCAATAAGAAACGAAATAGCAACAAGCTTCAACATCAATGACTAACTGGTTCAGTATTCTGTGTCTCAATCGACAATTTACTGGCTTGCTAAATTACAATCACTATGTATTTCATGAGTTGAGTGCCTAAAACGCCCATGAAGAGACCCCGAACGCCCACCACTGATTTTTCTTAATGAAATTGCAACACGTCAGCGAATATGAAAGATTATCCAACATACAAGTATGTGTACTATATGTATGTGCACGTTCGAACGTGATCTTTACTGATTTACGGATTTAAAAGTGAAATACAAAAATGCAAACAAAAGATAGACATCAACTGCATCGCATTACAGCGAACAAAGCTCGACTGACACCGAATTGCCCATGACAATGCATACTAATTTTAATTATTCCGCTTTGTGACAATAGTGTTTAGTATGTTTTCCGAAACCTCTTCTAATCTAGGGCTGCAACGTTTTAAACTCTATTATACACACGTGCTACACATATAATAGTTATCAATATGACGATCAGAGGCTTTCGACTGTATAAAACAGCCAAGCTTTTGGACACTATTTCTCGTAATCCTTGGAACTATAGTATGAACCCAAATTTGACAATTACAGCCTTTAAATGCTTATGTGTCCTCCTGTCGAATTTCATCTTAATAAGTCAACTCTAATGCTAAAACCATAATGTAGATTCTAGCCATGATCTGCCAGCAGCTGTTGTTGTAGTTCTACTTGTAGAGACTCTTCACAAATAAGCCTTATAATTTCATTTCATTTATTAATTTAATTTAACGTTGAAAAGTTTTTGTTCTTTAATTGAGAATAGGGTATTTGAGAGTTGGCCCCACTCGACACTAGCATTGCTTTCTTATTATTTAAAGAACTATGTATTATTTTAAAAGTTATTTAAAGAACACCAACGTGGAAATTTTTTAATTTGAATGGGGACTTCAATATTATACCTAAACTGAGTTTTCAATTACATATTCACATTTCATTCAAATTTTGTATGGTTCCATACTACTTTCACATACTTTTTAAACCGTTTCGCACTTGGGATGGAAAAGGAGGAATATTTAATTTCAATCAGCAGCTACACTTCAAATTTCGACATGGTATTGGAGCTATGTCGAATTCCTTTAAAGCTCGGCTTTAATAACGACAGATAAACATCAGCTGAGCTCTAATATTGTCTGATATACAATTAAGCACATGTTTAACTCTACTGTAGATGCAAGAATATATCTTCTTTTTTTTTATTTTCTCTGCAACAAAACTGTATTAAAGCTTTTTTTCGTTTTATCGGCAGGTGGCTCGCTCTATGCGTGTGGTCTTTGCGGCATGTTCGGCGATGAGAGCGCAACGCCCAGACTCTTGGATGTCTTTCTCTTTGCATCGCTGATATCCGCCGTAGATCCTGTGGCTGTGCTGGCTGTATTTGAGGAAATACACGTCAATGAAATCCTGTACATTGTTGTGTTTGGCGAGTCCCTGCTAAACGATGCCGTCACAGTATGTCAATATCCCCCCACCCCCCTACACACTCACACACACACTACACGTCCTTCCAATTTAAATGATTTGTATTCTTGTAGGTGGTCATGTATCACATGATGGAGGTGTACAATGAAATTGGCTTGCCGAACATTAACGCACAGGACATAGCAAGCGGTGTTGGTTCCTTTTTTGTGGTGGCGCTTGGCGGCACTGCTATAGGTAACGTCATGGCCAGGCCTACAGAGATGTGTTCATGTACAACAACTACTGTTTCTAGGTATAATTTGGGGCTTCCTAACAGGACTTGTCACACGTTTCACCGATCATGTGCGTGTAATAGAGCCAATCTTTATATTTGTTATGGCCTACTTGGCGTATCTGAATGCGGAAATCTTCCATATGAGCGGCATATTGGCGTGAGTATTCCCCTAACTTGATTGCAGATGCTCCTCAATTCAATATCAATTCTCATATTTCTACAGAATCACCTTTTGTGGCATTACCATGAAGAACTATGTGGAGTCGAATATATCGCAAAAGTCGCACACCACTGTCAAATATGCGCTCAAGATGTTATCCAGCTCGGCGGAAACTATAATATTTATGTTCCTAGGTGTGGCAACCGTTAATAACAAGCATGTTTGGAATACGGCCTTTGTTGTGCTGACCATTACCTTTTGCTCAGTATTTCGTGTTGTGGGTAAGTTTGGCAAACCCCACCAACAATTTCTACCATAACTGATGTGTGTCTGTCTTCAGGTGTTATTTTTCTGTCTGCCATCGCAAATCGTTTCCGTCTCCACAAGCTGTCGCGAGTCGACCAGTTTGTCATGTCCTATGGTGGCCTGCGCGGAGCCGTCGCCTTCGCTCTTGTGCTGCTGGTCGATGAGAACGTGGTCAAGCAGAAGGATATGTTTGTGACCACCACCATAGCTGTGATCTACTTTACTGTGTTTTTGCAAGGCATTACTATAAAGCCGCTGGTGGAGATATTGAATGTGAAGCGCGCACAAAAGCGAAAGCCGACAATGAATGAGCGCATCCATGAGCGCGTGAGTATAATACTTTATATCTTTGAACTTCATACCTAATGGTGGATGCTTTTCACAGTTCATGGACCACCTGATGGCTGGCATTGAGGATATCGTCGGCAAAACTGGCAATTACAATGTCCGAGACAAATTCAAACGTTTCGACAACCGTTTCATTCGTCCTTTGCTGATCAGAGATCTAAAGGTAGTACTTTGTGTTTAAGACTTGCGATATTTTTAAGAGAGATGTTCAAGTCAAATCCCTAAAATTTACTCAGGAAGTTAATGAATTACATTTACTGGATCGCATTCCCTTGCAATATTATGAGAAACATTATGATAAGAAAAAACGCAAGCTTCTGAACTTGGATCATCCCAATAGGCTTTCCAGCTCAAATGTTAAGTCGCGCCGCAGCTCGCAGCCCCAAATCCCCAATAAATCACAGCGTAGCGATACCAATTACGATGGCGATGAGGATCTCTAGACTTTCTTAGGCACTCCTTAATGCATTCCAACATCTTTTCTATTCCCATCGATAGGGCGCAGAACCGAAAATCATCGAGACCTACTCAAAGCTCACTATGCGCGATGCCATGGAAGTGATGCGCCGCAATCCCTCCACCATTGGACAAATGACGGGCACCGAATCAATGAGTGCGCTGTTTAGGAACTATACCAATAACTATATTGGGGGCAGGTGGGCACCGCCAACCATATACACCACCTGGTAAACGAATTTTCGATACGAAATTAATGTACACTCAGAACTTGCTAATGGGTTGCATGCCCGGCACAAGTACTTACTACTACATAGTAATCCACTCACAATGCATGTCTACAGACAAATCGTAAAACGTATTTTACTTGTAAATGTAGAGGATTCTTATATTGTCGTACTTGTATATTGCATGTTATCTCAATTAACACGTCCACGAAATACATACATGAGTAACGGCTAACTACTTGTAGCCTATCGTGGAACAGACAGTGCACACAATTTATTCACGTACTCGTATTTGAAAGAGCACTTTGTAAATATCTAAAATTCGTTTACTTTAATGTTAATTTAATACATAGCTGCGATATTGACCTAAGCTAACATATTTCTTCATACCGATAGTCCAAGCTTAACGAACCTAGACAATGCTTGTTCGCGTAATCTGGACATGGCTGAACTTGACTACAATCCATCCAAAAAGGATCTGACTGATGCCAAAATACATCATCTCCTAGCCGAGGAACTGAAGCCATATAGAAGGGTATGTAGGATGACATCATATACGTTTTTGTGCGTTAATTTTAATAGCTTTCTTTAGATTTCGATAATATAGTAAGAAAGTTTCGAGTTCAAGCAATCCAAACTGATCTCACTCCAAGTTTTTTACTGTGTCCTCACTCTCTTTCTCTCTCTCTCTCTCTCTCTATACAGTAGTGAGCAAAAGTGAATGTATGTTAGAACAACAGGCATTTCGAAGCCCATATAAAAACAAACGCCACAGCAAATCGAGTAAAAGTATACCCTGTATACCTTGATAATCCAAATGAGATAAAGTAGTAGTATATCTGTTTGTCCGTATAAAGACCAAGAACTTTGAAACTATAACTGTTTGGGAAAATAATCCAGATGCAGATCAAGTTTTGTACAATCAGTGTACATTTATTCTCATTATTTTATATATCTTCCGAACGGTGCAAAAATTACTCTTCGTAGGATAACTTTTGCTTAGGCAAAATCTTGTAGTTACGAGTTTGGATGGATTTCACATATTGCTATAACTTAGGCTTTGTATAATATGAAGATTTGTTAGGAACTATTAGGTAAGGAATACAAAAATGTTTTTGTCCGATGTTCTGTGACATTATTCTTTATATGAGCTTCGAAGTGAATGTGACCTTTGCTCCCCACTGTGTACTATACATATCTATGTATATCTATTTCTCACGCAACTCTACCTTGCATATATTACTCTGGAATAAGTACTTATGCAAAGAAATTTCGCTTCTAGTCTCGACCATTCTAATAGTCTAGGCACTTTTAAATTACATATATCGATCGTTTATAAACTGACTATATACTTGTAAGTAATCATTTGTTTGGTTTCTTTTCCATTGTATTGAACTCGTCATCAACTTCTCGTCAACAACCCGTAATGTTTAATTATTGCGTTCAACAAAACTACAACAAATTTATTACGCTTTCAATAATAATGTAAAAATTATTTCAAAAGGCTTCCATACAAATGGTACGAACAAATTGGATTCATTCTTTTGTTGTTCCACTTTAAATGTTTATTTAATTAGCTTATTTTTTCACTTCTTTGAATAATTGAACAAATGTTAAGAGTGGAACGTTTCTTGTGTGTCCGTGCTTTTCTAATATACCTATATTATAACATATTTTTACAAATTACTGTCAATATTTACAATTTCTGTATAAAATACTCGTATTATATGTAAAATGTGTTCTTATTGATGTCTGTATGTTTTCACATTTATATTAATACTTAAACAATGAATACTAACTTGCAAATAAGTGTTGTGTGTTTTTTCAATCCTTTATTCAAAACTAACTCAAACTTTCTTCAATTTGCATTTCCATTAGTTGGTTTTGACATGACTATTAGTATCATATCGCAGGAATTTGTTCAGCTTCGAACACACCGACTGACTAGAGTCTTACTACTTAGAGCATATTTTAATTTGTTGTCTTTGGGTTCGAAAATTCTCATACCATTTCTATGCCCAAAAGTCGCACACTACTTGTATATGTTGTTTTCCTGTGCTGTTTAATCCACGTTAGCACTGTCGTCTATAGCATTGTTTTCAGAACCACAAAGACAATTATTTTATTCATGCATATAAGTAGATAGGCATAGACCTAATACATTTTAGTAATATTAGAAAGAAAGGGGCTAGGACGTGATGGACGCCTTTGCAGAAAATAAACGCACTTTTAAAACAGTATTCACTTGATATCAAAAGCGCAAACTCCATTCCAACCCATGTAAAGATTGTACAAAATGTTTTGAAAAGCCCCCACACATAATCAATTACGTACTACTATTATTAATAGTTTATAAAAGTTACCGTATGCATTTGAAGTAACCATTAATATTTTGACAACGCCGCACACTCCACTATTCATGATTTAAAACTGAACTTGCTTTTGTAATATTTTTACAGCACCGTCGTCTTAGTTATAGCCGACACGCGGTAGATGACAGAGATTTGTCCACGCAGGTAAGTCATGATCTAAAGCTAGTGACAAATCTCTGAACTCACAAGCACATATCACATGTCTACGACACATTGTGCTTAACTCTAATTATTGGGGTGATCTTGTCGACTAATTTGCATTTTTTATGTTACAGGTCAATTATAAAATGCAAATGAATTTCCGACGAATGTTCAATGATCGCAAACACCACAAGCGAAGCAAGCGAGGTGCAAATAGCAAAGCAAGTGAAATGCCTTAGTAATTTAGTTTATCCACTAATTGTATCTTCCTCCATTTTGCCAGGATTCTAAGGAGAACGTCAAACAAAACCACGTGTCTTTCCACGATTTCCAACAGAACGGCACCAACAAGCAGCTCTCCAATGGTACGATTTCGAATTCAAACCATTTTCGCAAAAAATCGTCCAGAAAAAAACATTCTCACAATTCACTTAACAAATATCGTAGATTAGAAATAGGTAAATGGCACTAAAACATATCAAAATACGAATCTACTTTTTCGAATGTATAAAGGAATGATACTAACCGCTTCATTTGATAGAGATCGGTGGCTTATTAGTAAGCTGCTCAATTTTTGAGTTTTACGTTTTTCAGTTCTAAGTCCCGATTATTTAAAAAGATTATTCTATATATATTACATATATTTTACAAATTCACCTAAGACTTGACTCCTTAGGGGTTTATGTTTAAGAAGAAATGTTATCATTTTTGACGAATTGGTTATTACAATAATTTAAACCTTCCTATCTCTCTTTTTGTCTATTTTATTACGTGCTGTCCCCAAAATTGGCTGTTTTCATTCGATTCAATTTTACAAAATGCGGTCCTTCTACTAAAAAAAACTCACACACAACACATCTCTGGCTAACATGATCATGCTACATATATTATCTCGTAAAGATTATATTAATGATTTGCTTAATACAACAGCTGAGGATTGCCAACTCAATCCGAACGAAATCACCGTTGTTGGTCCTCCCGACGACTGGGATGATGGATTAACCTTTACTGCAAAATCATCACGTAAGTTAACGCTTTAGTTCCTGCTTTGATATGTACGTTTATCTAAAATGTGATTTTATGGCCAATGTATAATGATTTAACGATGTTCTTATCTCCGCGTGAATACTACTTTTCCAAATCCCTCCCAGTTATTTGTCTGCACTTGTCCCCATAAATAAATGCAAAGTCTAAGTACTTTCGTTCTTCTACCTCGTTTATTTTATATATTTACTTATCGTTGCTACAATAACATACAACAAGTCCAAACTGAGAGTTTTCTCAATTTGAGCAGTTACGAGCGAACCAGTTACGGAATCTGGTTGATGCGCTTGAATTACCCATAAGAGTTGTTCTTTTTTTCCCTTATTTAACGACTTGACCAATTGACTACACAAAAATGCCATAAAATATAATTCATCCGAAACATATGTACATACAAATAGTATGTTTACCAATGAAGTAAAAGAGAGTAACATTGTATATGATATCATAAAGCGAGGAAATCCTCGAAAGGCTTACCAATTTTAGTCCACACATTTCGTATATTCTTAGCTGTTAGGTAGCTCTGATTTGTCATGGATCTGCTTGTTATTTAAAATATTAATTCAATGGTTGAATTGCAAGCATTGTTTCATAAAAGTATAACTACTTACTACATAAAGGATTTGTCTATATACTACTAGTACGTTATTGTAGGTCGCCAGTTTTGTTTGTCCTTATACTATATAACCAGAGTTCTTGTACCTTTTTATGATTTCTTTTGTTTTGGCAGCTATAAGTTGTTTTGGTTTATATTGACAACACTATTTGAAACATATATTTTAAGTACCAATTTATTAAAGCTATAACGACGCTATTTCTATATATTTTCCCCTCTTAATATTTGAATATTACAAAACAATACAATATATATATATATAATGTATATATAAATGTAAACGCGTGAACAAAAATATCAGCTGACTCGGATCGCGCCAATAATAATTCCTTAATAACGCATATTCAAAACCTGCCGGGTTTTGATGCATCCAAGGCGCGCATCGTGCAGCATTACGCACCCAAACTTGAAGAGAGCCCTGGCCAAGAATTAGGCTCGCCAGATCCACCAGTTGGACCCACAGCGGCGGAGTTGATTTTGCCCTGGCGACGGGATCGTTCGTACCAGAGCATTGGTAAACAAAAATACCATCCCATTTAAGAAGAAGATATGGCTGCATAGCATTTTCCATGCACACAAATCCACTCACCAAACACTACATACTCGAACCATACCCGAACCATACTCGAACCCTACATACAAAGAATCATTTCGTACTACTCGTATATACTATCTAAACCAGCAGACTATGCGCTTTACGGTATTGTTTGTGAGAAGCGAAGCACCTTGCGCGGACTCCAACGTCTACTTTAAGCCGCCACTTGACTTCTAATCTACATAATCGTACATACATACATACAACCACGTACTATATATGTTTGTTGCTTTTCATTCCCAATTCTGATTATTTTCATTGCTACCTACATAGTTGTAGCTACCATAGTTTTCATACGTACATACATACATACATACTAGTATATGTGTATAATTAATTGTGCGTTAAAGCGCGCTTTTGTAAAATAATATAGTATACGCTTTTAGAGGCAGCGAACGCCCTGTAATCGGAGAACACCCGGATGTTTTCGCCTTTGTAGAAGCTTACATACTTGTACTACATACAAATTGCTCAAGAAAGTAAATACATGTGTGTATACTATATACGATATACGAGTATATACTTGTATTTACTTTCGGGTACGGTCAGTCATAAATAGCTCATTACGATATTATAGTAAATCGGAAATCAATAGCAAGGCAGCATGGCATTTTTGTGCATGACAACGTGTTTTGCTTAAGTTACGAATATGTTTTCAGTTTCTAAGTTAGCGGTCGAGCTTGCACTAATTGAACCACTCCTATGAGTTCGGGTATATCCGAACAATTGAAATTCAACATGAGACCGAGGATCGAACGCTTCAGGAAACTCGTTTGCATTACTTGTATGAGTTCAGAGGTTTTCTGTCTTGGTCTGACAAGTAAATAATCTGCCGCAAGCACATCACTTACTACAAGTATATAGTACTAATTAACGAATTTGTGTGTGCAGATTATTTGTTTGTCTGATCGCCAAATTACTGTGAACAGACCTCCATTTATCTCCATTTGTTTTTATTTTACTTTGATTAAGATTGCGTACATACCTTGTTTAAGCGCACCTTGTTATTTCCCAATTAACTATTTCAAATTAAGTGTATTTCTAATTGTACAATAACTGCGCTTGCGATTTCACTGATCTATGAATAGTTGGCCCCCGGCATATGCGAGACTGCAGTGTCCAAATGGGGCCAACCATCCGACGAGTTGCATGGGACTCTAATTAAGGTGTAAATATCACACGTCTTCTCTCCAATTAGTTGCTGAGAATCCCATACCAGAGGAGGATCGTAACATGTCCCGTGACTCTGATGGCGAGCGCCGGGTGGCCACCCCGACGGCTTTGGAATCTCAGCTGCCCTGGAAACGCCAAGGAGATGAATGCACGGACGCTGTGCAGCAGAACGAGTTCCCTGCCTGGGCATCGAATAAGGAGTATTTGGCCTACAATTCGCCGAGCGCAACGTTTCTAGGTAATATACCAGAATACGGGTACAAATCCTGCAAATATTTCTGCAGGAATATTGGACTCGAGAATCATTTTTCAATTCAAGACCCGACCGATGGTTTCTCAATTTTCGTCATTAAGTTTGCTCGAACGATTATTGTTGTTTCAGCGAGCACTTTAGATTGGTTTTGAAAATTGACCAACCACGCGATATCGGCCCTCCAATTTGTACATGACATACTACTATGTGTGCTTTTATAATTTGTTTTGAGTTTCATTAGTGCACCAAAAATATATTGAAAGAAACCATATCTGTGTAAATACACCTTCTTCGAGTACATATGTGTTGTATGAGTTGTCTTCTCTCTCCTTAACTTTCTCTTTTTTTGTCCTTCTCTATTTACCGGGCTTTTCGTTTTGGTAACTCCAAATCTTGCCACTCACACACTGTCTTCGCTTGCCGCAACACAAACACACACTCACGGATCCTCCATGTAAATTCCTGCCCAATGTCCGGCAAACACAAACACACACTCCCCTGCATACTCTGGAAACATCTGCAACCCCCCAGGTGGTATAAACAAGCCTAAACAGCCAAAGTCCGTCATAGGTCTCTTCCGGCGGGAAAGTTCCAGCTCCAAGACCGGCAGTGTTGGAATCGGCAGCAACAGTGCCGTCGACGGCGCAGTCTCGGATCCGACCCTGGCAGCTGCCTTGGGCACCTTGGCGGTCCCTTCTTTAAATCAGGCTTGCAGCACAGCGCCGTCAACTTCGATGCACAATCCGCGTCTGGACAAGCGTTCCCAGTCAATTTCGTCGACATCGATGTCCAGTCATCTGGTCGGCCCGGAGGGTCATGCCGGGCCTTTTCCGGTCACGGCTAGTCATCGGCGCAACGTACGTCGCGGTTCAATGCTGGAGCTGAGTGGGTAAGTACTGCGGCACATGCCGGACTTTTCTTCCTCTCACACACAACAGTCATTCGTCTAAAATGTGCTTTATACATACTATATATTGCTTTGTTAATGTTACATAATATTACTGAGTTGGTATCGTCATTCGTTATGCGGATTGCGTATTAATATTTCTCACACAATTCAAACTTAGCCCTAACCAATGTGTATTTGTTTTCTAGATACAATTAAATTAAAGAGCACAATTACTCTCCCCTATATTGCTAACTAAAAAGTGATTTAAATGGAAATCAGCATGCATTTTAAAACTAAAACTAAAACTTAACTTGCAATTTGTATATCAACGGGGAGTTGCTAATATTGTGAACACCCTACTACTCGTGTATTTAAAAGACTTATTGTTAGGCCACATGATTTATCTCGCTTTAAAGCCACTTCAAGATCTATATCTTTTATTAGCTGCGTTGGCCGTCATTTGATTGAAAGATATGATCTAACGATTTCAGAATACTCAGTACTGAATAGAAAATACAACCAAATCATCAAGACACTCTTAAAACGAATGCATCATGCAAATACCTACATTTGCAGAATAAGAACGTTTTGCAGTTAATTTTATTAAAATAATTTTCTGTGTGTTTCTTTTTGTCTCCCATTCCCGTTCCCTCCCACCCCGTCTTTACGTGTGCGTCGCCTCGGCCAATTTTATTTTACAGACTAATTGCAACTGGACGTAGGCCCAGTAGAATAATGCAAATATACAGTCCAGGAGCAAGTTTACTAGAGTCAGTAAGGGTTACGGCCAGTCCAACAGCAACAACAGCCACCAACATCACCAATACAACAACAACATCTACAGCTACTAAAATACCCAGTCAAGAAACTAACGAAATACTACTACTGTCAACTACTAACAGATCTGAAAACTCCTCCAATGCAAGTTCAACCACCAGTTCTCCCACATCTGAGAGTATTGCAACGTATTATTCAAAGTAATCGAAAGCCTAGCAATGCAACTGCCACTTAAGCCGGCCATTTTCGAATCTCAACATTATGAAAATACAATAAAAACCTACCCACATACACATACATGTGTACAAGTATATCGACAATATGATCGCATCGCCTATGTATATGAAATCGAGGCTTATCATTGTAGTTACAATTTAGAACAGTTTAGAATGCGCATCTACTCGTATAAGAAATGCTTTGTCATCATTAGTATTGGTATGCCATTTTTAAAATGCGAACGGTTGCCTTAGTTCCAAAATACATAAGTTATCGTTAAGCTCTGGATATTGAAAAACATTCATATCAAGTCCACTCACGCACTCATTTGTATCTTTTCACTGGCCCGTATCTTTGGTTTATTAATCCATAAATTCTGATGTTGCTGAATTTAATTACTATACCTTGTACCCCGAAGGGATAAAGGAGGTGTGGCAGACTCCATGTTATCGGTACTAATATGATCAGCATGACGAGACGGATCGATAACGATATCTCCATCCGTCCATCCGTATGAACGCTGAGAACTAATGCATCATAAAAGCTAGCTTTGCAGGATAACCTTTTTTGTTTAAAGTATTCAGAAACCTTTACCTAGTTTGTGTTTTAAGAGTTAAGCTTTTTTAAAGTGTTTCTTTAATGATAGTTTTCAAGATGACTCTTGGTATTCAACACACTTTTTGTTTATCTCGGATTGTAATCAAATTTGGTGTTCATTGGTTTTTTATAATGTCCCACAACAATCCAAAATATAATCAAAACTGATTTACTATATTGTAAAGCTACCATTGGAAAGATCGATGGAAGAACCAATCATAGTACTAAAATCTTTTCTGTTTATTTCAGTAACTGAACCAAATTTGGTATTTTTAGTTTTTTTAAATCTGGTATTTGATCAAAATTAGTCAGAGGTACAAAAAGTTTATTTTAGTTGAACGGCTGCAGGGGGGAGAAGGGTGGGTACAGGGTATTCAAGAGTCGGGCTGGCACGACTCTAACGTTCCACTCGTTAGCTTTTGGCTGTATGATCTAACCTTTGGCTTTGTGGTCTAACCTCCTTGCCGTTTGTCTAATACGTATATAATGTTATTGGAGCACATACTATAGTGTACTTAGTATGTGTGGCTATTATATAGTACTTATAACTGATTTATTTTTGTGGTAGTTGTAACTCGGTAATTATTTCGTTTTGTTGGATAACAATTGCATGCTTTATCCATTAAGATGGACCTAACAGACATAGCAACAACAAAAATACCATCTTAACCCAAAAACATACCCTAACCGAATATAAATATTAATCAAAAATACTGTCTTAATTTGTGAGTTAATCGTTCAAATGATAACAATGATTCCTTGTCAAATGTGTGTCATGGTGCGTTCTATTATATTTTGAATCTTCAATGAGTAATAACCAAGATTTGCATAAATATTGGCCAACAGAATGTCATCTCTATATTAACCAATCCCTAACAAACTATATTTTTAGAGCCGCCTCAATTGAGTCTGTATAGCAATATCGAAACGAGCACACAACCCAAAACCAGGAAAGCTGCACAAGAAACCTTTTAACTTACACACTAAACACAAATACACACATACACACACACACAACACCCAGCACCTGTGATAATTCCCTAGACTTTTATATGCCTTAGAGTATATTCATATGCCTTTAAGAAGAATAATTTTGTGTAAGTATTTCAAGCACCCTTTTATCTTATCCACTTTCTATCCACTTACACATCTTGTGCAACTGCAACCACTTCTCTAAAACCACTAACCACTGATTGGGACAGTCTGTCACTAATTTCTCTTGATTTGTGCAAACAGACAAGTACTTACTCTTATCCAAAAAAATGTAGGTAACCCAAGACTAATCACTCTGTTTGACATAATATTTAGAATTAAATTTCGCCGACGCCCATGCATAACCATAGATGAAGTCAGCTTTAATACTATAGTATATATACTATAATTGTATCATACAAGTACATGTGTCCTTTATGAATTAAGTAGAAAGTAGTAAAAAAGTGTATTAGTTGCTGTATAGACTATCCTACTAATTCATTTTGGTTTCTCATCTTTGTTACACTGTTTTAAAAATAATTAAAACAAACCAAAAAAAAAAAAAAAAAAAACAAACAAACAAGTAAATCGTTTTATTTGCCTTATTTTTTATTTAATTGTACATATGTATGTATATCTATACTTAGACTCTAAAACCTAGTAATTTAGTTATTAGAATCATGCCCAAAGTATTTTACCCACAATCTTGGATTACGGACCCATCTGATGTTAAGGAATGGGTTTGGTAATCCAATATCGTTTGGGTAAGGGCGTCTCACATCCAAACCAAATATATAACCAAATATTTCCCATACCATTTACCGTTCTCAAGTCATGCCAAAATTAATCACAAATTTACATTAACTTTCTACGAATTCTCTTCACCTCACCAACCAACCAACCAACCAAACAACTTTTCAAACCACCACCTCGAATGCCTGCACCACTCTTGCATACAATACAAACACCAACCATAGTGACACAATTCCCGAGGAGTCCTCGTACCAGCACGGCCACTCGAAGTCGCTCTGTGAGCCGGCAGGCGACGATTGGGACACCACACCACTGGCCATGGGCAGTGCCAATAGCGAGAAAATGATGCGCAGTGGCCGGGAACCGCTCCTTCCCCGCTTGACGCCACGGGCCCAAGTACGTCGCATGGGGGCCGGGGCAGTGAGCGGCGCCAGCGTTGGGGTGCCCGGCAGCAAAAATCAGGCAACCACCGCGCTATTAGCTCCCACGGACTATGAGGACGATGACGATGAGGACGAGGATTTTGATTTGTATGACGATGAAAACATTGTGGTCGTAACCACGCTCCACGATGGAGGTGCTGGTGCCCGTCCCAATCGTGGAAGCGGATTATCAGCGACTCCGGGGCAGCAGCCCACCACCACAACCAGCATACGGCTGACTCGGAAGAGCGACGAGAGCATCATTTGAGTATCAAGTTCGGAAGCCGACGTGAGCATCGAGGACGAGCGGGAGGATGACAGACAGCAGCGCCGGGTGCAACCACGTTGGCTTGGCACACGTTCCAAGAGTCTATTCAAGTACGAAATGTTTTACTGAGGGCTAGCAACGATTTATCTAAAGAGTACGATACAGAAGATGTGTATGCTATTTACACAGAGGATGTTAATTTTAGGCCAACAGTTGACGAGTTGCAGAAATAGTTTCAAAATGGTTTTAACCAAAAAGCTTTATACATATTAAATAACAAACTGTACTTGTATATTAATTATGTATCACAAAATAATAACTTTATGTGTTTAGTCAAAGGGAAATTTTATGTTCCGTAGGGCAGGTTGCTGCATTTCATTTATGTACTCGTCTGTATGTATGTATGTAGTTTGTGTTAATATTGTTGACAATTAAATTCCGATTTGCGTTTAGTACAAATTTTAAAATAACGTGTTTGGTGCACGCAGCCAGCCCTACCCCAGCAATTGTTATACAAATAAATTAGGTGATTACAGCTAATGTGTTCTTAATAGCAAGTCAGTAAATTAATATTGTAATTCTGAGGTAATTATGTAGCCAGGCCTTACATTAAGCTCACACCATTTAATTGTCCGTCTTTATTTAAGTTTCTTGTTCCTTTCCTCATCAACTTCAAAGCTTAGTTCAATTGTAGTCTAAGTTTTAACATTTAATGCAATAGAAGCCACAAAGGTACTTAAGTTTTGTACAATATAGTACGGTACAGTGAGCAGTACAGTACAGTACAGTACAGTACAGTACAGTACAGTACAGTACAGTACCGTAACACTAAGGTAATGACTAATTGAATACAAATTAATAGAGGAATGTATATGCAACTCAAAATTAGTCTCAATATATTATTTTTGTAAGAATTTACGAGAGGAACTCGCATACATAGGCCCAACTTTTAAAATAAATCATGATGTCGTGTTTGAGAGTTTGTGGAAAGAGTATTACAAGAGACAACCCAAAAAAATACAAAATAGTAGTTGTAGCCCAAGCCTAATGGTTTAAGTGCTCACATTAAATACATACTTGTACAAGTATATGTGCATTAATTGCATATTCTTCTTAAGTTGAACAGACAATGTAAACATAGCGGATTAGTGAAATAGATACTTACCTTAAACGAGATGAGTTTTTTACTGTCTGTGCGAATGCAAAATTGGCCGCCATCCCCCCACTCTATGCTAATATTGTGGGGGACCGTTGTTAATTAAATGGACGGAATACTTATTACTTTGTATAATTTTTCATAATCAAACTAAATACAAAAACCGCCTTTCAAAAACCCTAATGATGCATATAATACAGGCCTTACATCCTTTGAACAAGAGTTCGACAATAACCATCGAAAGAACTAAATATGCTAGGAACTCATTTGATTTAAAAACGAGTAAGGCATTTTAATTATAATAAAAGATTTCAAAAAATCAGAGCTGTGTTAAGTATGAGCTAATTTTTATATAAATTTTAGTTATGCATAAACCGTTCGCAACAAAATAATGAGAACTATATGCATAAAGAGTTTATATAAAAAACGTAGCTCATATAATAAAAGATACCAACTATAAGTTCAAGTGAACAACTTTAAAAAATGATAAACGAATAGTTATACTACGAGTATATGTATGCAAGTTTCATATGCAAGCCTTAAGCTGTGCATCTTGAATTCAAAAAGAAAAAAACCGATAAAAATTCGAAATTATGAAACTATTTGTGCACATAAAAATAATACCTAAACACTTAAGACATTTTAATACAATAAAAGAAAGCCACAAATAAATAACACAATTTACAATTCTCGGAACGAAGTCTAAATTTTCATTAAGTGCAATAAATAACAATTCAAACAACTGAACTATATATATTTTTCTTTACACTCTTGGGGTTATTTTGCTTTTAAATTCATATCTAAACAGTAAAATGTATATACATACAATTATATTCTATCCATTAATTTTCTCCATCGTTCACTGTTTTGATGGAAAAATGCTTTATTTTGTAACGAATCAGCGAATCCAAAAATACTTCATGATGCTCTTTATTTGTTGTTTGAGTTTTTCCAAGAATTCAGTGAAGTTGATTTTTCCTCGTACATCCAAAGAAACCAAAACCTTGCCTTCAGCCGGGTCTCTTTCGAATCGTACCGTTTTAAAGGTTCCTTCATCTGTGGAGTGTTGAGGCGGTTCTATATTAAATCGGAGATAATGTAAGGACGCGCAAAAACTAAACTCAACTGCTTCCTACATGTAATCGTGAAAAACTGAGATCCTTAATCTAGTCCGCTCGAAGCACTTCCATGAAATCATGCCTGTTTCTTTGGATGAATTTCATGTCGCAGGAGTGACTTTGGAAGAACGCATTGCGATTAATTTGCCAGAAGTGTTCGCACCAATTGCCAGGGACGGCTAAGTATCTAACTATTTAAGCACTCAACAAATAAAATCAATAGGTTATCCAAACTGCACTGATTTGACACCCCACGACTTTTTTTTATTCCAATAAAGAACTATTTAAATTCTTTAAAAATCTTGTTTTTCAATAAGCGTTTACTGAAATATGATAATGGCTCTTTAGTTCAATCGGCTGATGGCAGAATATGGTCAGAGATTACATTCATGGGTATCATTTGAAGTTTACCTCTCGTGATGAATCTTGAAAATGGAGGCAAATGCACTAACGGGATGTAATATATATTTTGGGTAAAAATGCCAAGAATTACGGGAGTGGGAAATCACTGTGGGGCACACGTCAGAAAAAGCCAATCAAATTTGTTCTTACTCTGACTCAGAAGATCCTGGATACCTAATTTTGGTTATTCTAGCCATTACACTTTCCTAGATTTTTGAGTTCATACAGACAGATGGTACGATCAGACGTTCATGAGTATATCGAAGATCCGTGTCACCTTACTATTGAAATATCGATTTCTCTTTACGAACTAAAGCCTCTCCCTCATTGACTCATAAAAGTTCACGCCTTTGTTTTCGGAAAGGCGATTTTAATAAGCTCAACAGATTAATATCAGAAACTGATTGCTCATTTCTATACGAATCCGTTGACATTGAAATCCCATCTACTTTTTTCTATGAGACCATTCTCTTTCGATGTCTGCATTCCCTTTACTCTAAAGCCAAATCGAACTTTCTTCTTCTCAATTCTCAGTGTTATACTGAGTATCTTGAGCGCTGTAAAGCTCCATTTGTTCAAGACCCTAACAGTTTTACAATTTTGTGAACTGCAAACGTAAATCGTCACGTAAATCGTCTGTCCGTCCGTATGAACACCTGGATCTCAGAGACTATAACTATAAATATTTTTTGACACACACCCCTACTTCCTCTTTTAGAGGATTTTCAGAGGCCTTATCGCCAGAAAATAATTTGGCGCCTAAAAATTTATGGGCGCTAAACAGTATCGGCTTATTAATTAATTCCTCTCTCACGCCCTTTTATCTGGACATGTAAGCATGTAGTATTTCCTAAGTACTGCCCACAATTTCAAAGTAACCAATATCTTTTACATGTTTAATTTCATTAAAGTTTTAACGAAATAATTGTACGCCCACAAACTGCACCGGCGGGTTCGCTTTTCGTCATTTTCTATTTGCTGTTGCTATGCGCGATGGATGTGTTTTTTTTGGAACAAGGTATTTCAATGTCGGACTTGCTTGACTAAATCATTCTATCTTGTTAGTATTTACGACACAAATTAAGTCCCGAGATGTCAGATATTTGCAAGTAAATTTTTCAATGATATTGATTCGCCTGAAAAGGCTTTTTTCCCTTAGTGGCTTTTGGCTATGTTTGCATGAAAAAAAGCTAAATGTGCAACACTGGGCTCGAATTGCTCATCATTCGGCGTTGCCACTGCGACAAAATCGTGTTGGTTTCGCCCATTCGTTATGGCACGGCACGACCCTCCGCTCAGTCTCGGGCGAACTGTTAAATTGGAAGGATGTGTTGCGCAGGATGCGCTGTACGTTTTTGTGAAAGCAGCAGGCAGCTGAGAAAATCATTTTAATCGCGCCAAAAATCAATAACACAAAGTGCAACAAATAGAAAGCTGTTTGAAAGATACTAATACGAACTTAATTTACAAGCTACGTTCAGTGCAGCTCCGTTGATTATATATTTTTACTTTTGGCTCGTTTTTCATTTTGTCTGTGCCTCGTGCCGTTATCTAGTGTGTGTGCGTGTGTAGGTGTGCGTGCTCGTGCCGTGTGGGCTTTACCGTTAAAATTACGAAATCGTTTTCAGGAAAAATGAGGAAAATTGCGTGCAGATCAGGATCTAGTATATATTAGAACAAAAATAAAATAACAGCTGCAATTATCCTTAATATATTCAGTTTACCTACATACCTACATACATATATATGTGCATATTACATTTGCTGCCTTGTTTTTACCGATTGTGGGAGGGCGTTTGCCTGTGTGTTGACGCTCAGTTCAACCTTTGGCTATCTAAAAACAAAAGTGAAATTAATTCAAACGCCGCCTAAGCAGCTCCCTCCAGTCACAACCACAACAACAACAACAAAAACAACAAAAACAACAACAGCGAACAAGTTGACTTTCGCGTGTAACGGCACTTCTGAAACAGCACAACCCCAAGTCGCTACAGAAGCAGAAACAATAACAACACCTGCAAACCTGGGGAGCAGCGCAACAGCAGCCAAAACTGCCGTTAGCTTCGCCGTTTTCTAACAAAAAGTTATCAACACAAAGCCACAAAGATTATGGCAAAGGTAAGCAGCTTGAAATTTAGCTCTGAATCTCATTACAAAATTATATATTTATTGGAAACCTGACTTTTGTCCTATTGCGATTACTTTGTTTGTCAATTTTCACTCAATGCTGTTGTTTTTGTGTTTTTGTACGAGGAGTGATCGAAATATAAGTGAAAAATTGATTAATTCATAATAATACGCATTTGAAAAATTGTAAGATTCATCGCTCATTTACTCTGGACGTCTTAATGGTATTGTGCACCATAATAAGTAATAAATCATACACAGTGCTCTGTAAGTTATGGTTAATGGTAGCTTATACCACAAGAAACACATAACGTGTCTCAGTAGATAATACTTGTAAATATGTTTGTACGTACATTATCGATTGCAAATACGATGTTGTTAACTTTTCATTTAAAGAAGAGACAGTGGATAATTTTGTAATAAGAGTTAAGCAATTCTTGTAGCCATAAATCAAATTACTTGCCACTTCCCGCTATTGCTCCCATTTAACCCCACCGGTATTAATTTTTAATCTTACCTCGCATATGTATGTATGTACATACTATATATACCCGTACATACATATATTTTTGCTTGTGTGCAATTTTATATTCACTTGTTTGTATAAATTATGCATGCTTGTGGCTTCTCCCATGCAGCAAATGGGCATTGATTTCTTGGGGGTTGGCAACGCAATTCGTAAAGGGTGTTAAAGCAACCATTTGAACTAAATTATATGTTATATGTGTAGATCTTAAATTGATGTGGAGTCAAAGCTTTAAGTGATAAAGTACATTGGAAATATCGGAATCTTTTTAAGAGAAAGTTGTTATGTGGAAAAACAATGGGCAATGTAAAATCATTACTTTCTAAAGATATCATCACTCAGTTTCGTATTCCACTAGAAGATAAACGTGTCAGCAATGGAAAACTGTATAATGTTCCTTGGCGCATAAATAAAAATAATACCCTATAAGGCTGAAAGAATTGGATTTACTGCAATTGGACCCAGAAAGAGGCGTGGTATGACGAGATGAGTCGAAATCGTTGTGTCTGTTACCAAACCTAGTATTTATGAGCAAAACAGGTTTATATTTTCCCCTGATGTGCCCCACTTCGCGTCTATTTGTTATTTTCAATTGCATTGCTTTGCAATTCTTTGAAATTTGTAATCTTGCAATGACATAGGGTCAGTGCTTATGTGCATTCATGACGAGCTTAGCTTAAGTATAAAGAAGGTTTAGTCTTAAATGTAATCTCTGTCAAGCTCACCAGTTTCTGTTTTTGCTCCTGCGGGAAGTGAGAAGGTGTATCGAAAGAAACAAACAGTCCTGTCCTGTCCTTTCCTTAAATCTAGCTCTTACATTTTCGACGGACAGACAAAAAGGCAGATAGACAGGTCAAGAATAACTTGTCTTATCATGACTGCGGGGTCTACTATGCCCCCTTTGGCTCTCACAAAAACTGATGGATTACATAATAACTTTTACCCTTTCACCCTATAAAAACATTTTAATTTGGAAGTGGGTATAGGGATTTTAAGAGTCGGGCCCAGACGACTCCAGTATTTCCAGCCGGAACCGTTCCATTCTGTTTAAAATTTCATAATCGAAAAAATGCAAATACGAAAAATCTGTATCTACCCGCGCAAATAGAAGGGAAAGAAAACCTAATCCTTCTACTAGGATAGAATTGATTTGCTTATATATTTGATGATAAATGATTTAATAAAGGTAGAGAATTGCATATAAATCACGTGCATGAAATTAAGTTTATTATAGTATTGACATTGTTCTGTAGCGGGGAGGGAGAAAAAAATAGAAAACAAAATACACTTGTGAGTGTGTATGCTTGTGCATGAACAAATCCTTTACATTGTTCAATCTGCACGCAATTCCGATTTCCGACAATAAAACAACCAGCAATGAGGAATCCAAAAACTTCGAAGAGTTATTTTTCACTCCTTGGAGACGAGAGTAAGAAGCCTTTTTGCGAAAACGAGCTCCATTTCTCTGTTTTTTGCTGCCAATATGCGGTTTTATGTACTGCTGAAGCAAATTCGGGCATAAATTTTTTATTAGCAGCAAAGTTGGGTTGTGTGGGTGCACTTTAGTTGTTGTGTTGCGGTTGTTGATGGCGAAGGAGTGAGGCACGTGCCCAGCCTGACGCGTGTCTTTGCTTTTTTAGACACTTCCTTTTACCTTAATTTTGTTCTCTTCCGTACTGTTGGTATGTCTAATAAATTACCTTTTCACTTCACTTGTCGCTCAGTATGATGTTCTTATCTTAAAATTTGTTTTATGTAGCATGCAGCAGTTGCCGGTAACTTTTTTTTTGCAGTGAACGTAACTTTTTACGATGCTGTCGCCGACGGCAATCGCATAAAAATTTTGATTTTCACATCAAATGTTATACAAGTGCGGCAATATGCAAATTTTCGGGAAGCATCACCATCAGGTCTTCATTTGTGCGCACTTCAAGTTGAATCTTGCATTTTAGCTTAGTCTAGATAAATCCGTTCCCCAATCATCGTGTTACAAGTATTTTCCACTCCCACTGAGTGCTTTATTTGCGCCAAATAGAAAAGAGAACCTTCAAGGGATTACTGATTTGTGACATGCTTATAATAATCATAAACTTCGTGGTGTCAGCTGCTAATGTTCTTGTAGCCATAGCCTTGCAGTTCACTATTATGATGCACACATTGTATTATTTTTTTCTTTCATAAACTTACAATTGTGGTTCGGATTTCTGTGTCAACAGCAGAACTTTTTGCCCCAGCGTGCCTGCAAGTGCAAGGATAACAAAGAGCCGTGCTGTTTTCCATTGCCAGAAGCTTTCGAAAGATTCATACACACTAGTATGTATGTATGTGAGTCTAAACTCTATATATTTAATATTATATGCGCAATGTTTTTGTCGCGTCGAAGACAATTTTTTCTTGTGCCGCACAGCAGGAAAATGCATGTACATATTGATAAATGTTGCGCCATGTTAGATATAAAATTATAAAAGGAATATGACTGATAGATACTATGACATTGAAAAACGAGCGTGAAACAGCCGATTTGATTGAGGTGATTATAATTGAATTACTTAATGTTTTAGATCTATTAAAACCAAAATAATGTGTTTAATTTTAAGAAAAAATTGGGCTGAAGTAGGCTGCTACAAAATTTCCTAAAGATTAAAAAAATGATAAATGCAATGAAAAATATGGTATAATACAAACGTTTTAATCAAGCCTTAAAAATTACATAAAAATCTGTTTTGTTGAGGGATTACACTCGTATTTGCAAACCGGACAACTATTTCCCGATACACAGCCAAGTACAGACAGAGGTGTTAAACCATGTTAATGTGTATGTTATCTCAGAAAGGGAACTCAGTAGCGGATTATTTATAAACAGAAATCTGCTTGAGTAGGGTGGCAAACAAAAGTTGACATCGCACGTCTTAATTCTGGAATTCTGTAGGCTACCGTTTACAGAATACAAGAACACCTTAGCCTTGTGAAGAAGCTTTTCCTTGTTTATGTGTAAGGTATTGTGAACATTTCAATTGAAAAACTTAAACGTATGTTTTCCCATCTGACTGCTAGTAGAATAGTAGAATAATAGAAGTAAGCACACAATCTCAGACAGAAGAGTGTGTTCCAGAAATCACTTTTTGAATCCTCCTTCCCCTATGACAGCTATAAAATACGGTGGTGTGATTTAAATTCGCTCCTTGTGCTATTTATTTATGTACCTCTATACTACATATATCATGTGGTCTAGATTCATCCTTCTGGTTGCGAGACAATAGAAAATAAAAAAAAAAACAAATACTATCATTTGACTTGATGTATACGTATATAAGATTCTTTTCTTGGGGGTGAAGGAGGTTACTAAATTCTAGAAATAAATTTTCCTTCATTCTACTAATTAACTTCTAAGAACTCGTATAAGTTTGTTAACGTTCGTAGCATATTTTCAGGGGTGAACAAAAGAGGGACACAACAACAAAGACAACCCGAGCGTAGCTGCCAAACACGTTGCATATTTTTTGTTGATTCATGCCAATACGTTGGAATTCGAATATTGATTTTGAGCCAAATTCCAAACCTTGCGACAGGTTTTGTATTTATGACGGCCTTTGCACAGCTTTTGCAGCTGTCTGGGATGCTGTCTTCATGTATGTACATCTCTATATATATAAAACAGTTTGTCCTGACTGACTGACTGACTGACTGACTGACTGACTGATTGGCAATCAACGCACAGCCCAAACGGTAAGAGCTAGGAAGCTGAAATTTGGACACAAGATCCCTCTTATAGTGAAAGTGAGCACTAAGAAGGGGTTTCGGAAAATTCGAACGCCAAAGGGGGGAAAACGGGCTCCAACGTTTGTATGAAAAATCTACAATTTTCATCCGATTAACTTCAAACTTAGTTTGTATACTCTCACAAAGAATACAAAAAAAACTGTATACTTGGATTTTCAATATTTTTCCTGCGGCCTGAATAATAATGATTTTCCGGTGGAAAATTCGGTAAACGAAAAGCTATGTGCAATCAACGCACAGCCCAAACGGTTAGAGCTAGGAGGCTGAAAATTGGACACATGTTGTCTTCAGTGGTGTAGGTGAGCACTAAGAAGCGGTTTTGGAAAATTCGAACGCCAAAGGGGGGAAAACGGGCTCCAACGTTTGTATGAAAAATCTACAATTTTCATCCAATTAACTTCAAACTTAGTTTGTATACTCTCAAAAAGAATACAAGAAAAACTGTATACTTTGTTTTTCACCATTTTTCCTGGGGCATGAAAAAAGGGGGGTTTTCCGTGGAAAAATTGAAACACAATCAACACCCCACAGCCCAAACGGTAAAAGCTAGGAAACTGAAATTTGGGCTCAAGTATCCTATCATGGTGTAGATGCGCATTAAGAAGGGATTTTCGAAAATTCGAGCTCCAAAGGGGGGAAAAGTAGCTCCAAAGTTTGTTTGAAAATTCTGCATTTCTGAATCGAT